CTGCCCCTTGTGTGCAAGTTATTTTTTATAAAGTACACAAAAATTTGACATGAAGATAGTTATTCAACATGCAACATAAATATGTTATATAAGAAAATTGCAATCAAATAAATATTATAAAAAAATCTTCAAAAATCTCAAATATTTTGTGACATCTAACATGTAGAGCTACCTATTCTTCAATGCAAATTCTTAGGAAAAACTTATATATGTTGACAGGACATATTTATGTCGACATGCAACTTAGTTATTTGACATGCAACTTCCTTCATGCGAGATAATATGTTGACATGCAACTTATTTATGTAAACATGGAATATTTATGTTCACATGCAACTTATATTGCATGTCAAATAGCTCTCGCATGTCAACATAACCAAGTTTTTTCCATATATATAAGTTGCATGTTAACATAAATAAGTTGTATGTCAACATAAATAAGTTGCATGTTAACATGTCTAAGTTGCATGTCAACATATTTATCTTGCATGTTAACATAAATAAGTAGCATTTAGCATGTTGGATGTCACATGTGGGCAATATTTGAGATTTATGAAAAAAGCAGATGATTTTTATTTTATTGCAATTTTCTTTTGTCAACATATTTATGTTGCATGTTGACATAGCTTTGTTGCATTCAACAAATTTGCATTTCACATATTTGATAGAAAAATAACTTGCACACAAGGGGCAGAAATATGCCACCATAGTCGCAAAAGGATTAGGTCTCTGCTGCCAATAGACTTCATCCTTCTCTACAAAATTAAAAAAAGAGATGAAACATCTTTGCAGATTTGATAAAATATTTGAAAGATGAGATTAGAGATACAACATAGAGATGTAAGAAAAAGTACATGTCCTTCACCGGGATAGTTCTAGATATCTAAAGGTCAAGAATATCCGTAAATATGCTTTTTTGAAAATGTTTTGAGTGGATCTCTCAGAACAATCCTACTTACAAGGTTAAAAAATATATATACTAAAGCAAGAAAAAAGTTACCATTGGCCCCCCTTGGAAAACGCTGACCCCCCCCCCCCCGGTAAACGCGAATATGTGTGAAATGGGTATGAAAAGTGAAAGATTTGAGGCAATACACGTAGAAGTCATAGATTACCCACCACCACCACCACCACGAAATAGGTTTTTAACGTTTGGGCGAGTTTATGGTTTTTTTTTTTTTTTTTTTTTTTTTTTTTTTTTTTTGCTTGTCAAGAAATTTCTGGGATTGGATTTTTTTTTTTGACATATACTAGGGTGGACCCCCCTTGAAAAAATTTACTGGATCAGCGCCTTTTCTGATCCAGAAAATGACTTGAAAAGGGGCACTTTGGGTCCAGTTTTAAATGAAAAGACAAAGTGTGAAATAAATTTTTAACCCATAGTATAATAATAACATTTCTTATCCCGTTATTATTATACTATGGGTTAAAAATTTATTGTTTATATTATTATACTATGGGTTAAATATTTTATTTCTGAATAACCATTTCTATCAAGTACACTACAAGGAGTGCTGTAACTGGGTGCTTTTTAATTATAAATGAGGCTTCTGTTGGAAAATCATATCCGTGAGAGTACTTTTTCAGATGAGTGAACTTAAGGAGGATGCACTGAAAGATAGTCTAGTTGGGAGATATACACGTGCAGGGGAAAAAAATTCAATTCGATCATCAAAAATTGGGGGGGGTGATATTGCATTAGTTTAAACACGGAAAATTGATGGTCTTCAGTTAACATAGATTTAATGTATAATATATATACCCCGGTACATCACTATAAATGTCGGGTCGAAAGAAATTTTTCAGATGTACATAGATTGGGGATGGGGTTGGGTGTTGGATTGAAGTGTTACCTTACCCCAAAATATACAAAAGAGGAAGTGACAGAAAACTCAGTTTGAATTAACGAAGTTCCCTTCTCGCTTGAAAAGGAACGGGTTGGGTTGAGGTAGATATTTTGAAAACCAGTGTTCTCGGCAATTGTATACATTAAGGTGAAAATCTTTTACTTGGGGGGGCAAAAATTGATAAAATGAAGTCGTGTAACCTGTAAAGAGAGCAAAGACTTCATCATCTGGGCTCAAAGCTCCAATCATAGCTTGGCTGTCTTTTTTTCACAACATAAATTTCGATCTTTTAGAACAATCCTACTTCATTTTGAGCACGCATCCTATGGCATCAGACATTTAAATATGATCCGTTTCCCTGTCATGAAAAGGCAGAAAATAAATATTAATAAAAATGGAATGGACAACTCAGAAGGATGTATAATCATATTTTTAAATGGAAACTCTCCTGGGTAGAGGTAGATGCTAAATTTATAATGTGAGATACATATACTAGTCAAGAGCGACTAACTTGACTTGACTGAAGTAACAAAAACGAATGTTCTGATTGCTTTTATAAAATGACCGAAAAGCTACTTTGCCAGTTTTATTTGAAAAAAAGTGTAAATAGATCTGTGTCTCGTGGAATATCGGTATAATTTACAAACGTATTCATAAAAAAAGTTCTTACAGAGTGTACGAAATAAAAAAAAAAATACAAGGAATATTCCAACTGTCAATATTTCATTCATATACATTATAAAGACTAGCTTTTAAAACACCCGCCCCTAAAAATATCAACTTTCTAATTTATGATGATTGCCTCATATTATGATAAAAGACGAAGTAAAATGGAACTAAAATGGAAGTTCTGATGTAAATACATGTGTATTTTATCAAGAAGATACCTGATTGCAATCACGTCAAAACATTGTTTTCATGAATGTTTTCCAGACCTATCCTTCTTTAAAACAATTCAAGAGTCAGAAGATAACATTTAACATAATCAATCGATTAACATGAATAATGACGGTTAAGCTTTATTGACAAGTACTTAATGAGGTTAATGAACAAAAACGTATTTAATTGATGAATCTGCATATTTTCGGGGAGGGAGGGGGGTTGGTTGGTTACCTGATTACAAGTATTTACTGGCAATTAAACTACTGAATTTGATGTATCTTTTACTTGTTGACTACTTAAAGATATCAATAAAATGAATCAATAAATAAGTGATATCAGCCAATGAATGATTAAGTGATTTTCACCTACACCTAAAACTTTATATATTACAAGGACAGCGAGAAAGGACCCGCTCCTTTTTATGCCCCCGCAAACGTAGTTTCGGGGGTATATAGTTTCTGCACTGTCTGTCTGTTTGTTTGTCTGCAAAAACTTTAAATTTGCCCATAAGTGATTAGTGCTACGACTTTCATATTTCACGGGTGTATTCCTTGTGACAAGACCTTTCTTTGGGTACCGCCAAATTTGACCTCTTGACCTTACAAAAAAAAAAAAAACACACACACTTTAACTTTGGCCATAACTTTTGAACAGTTGGAGCTAGGGCCTTCATACTTTACAGGTGTAATCATTGTGAATACACCTGTGAATTATAGTGGATGTAAATATTTTTGACCTTGGCCTTAGAATTTTACCCAGTTTTTAAAAACTTTGACCTTGGCCAGAACTTTTGAACGGTTAGAACTTTCATATTTCACATGTGTATTCCTTGTAACTAGACCTTTCTTACCTTGGGTTCCAACGCTTTTGATCTTGACCTTTGGAGTCTCGCCATAAGCTGTACGGGGGCATATGTTTCACAAACGCATCTTGTTAAACTGACAATTGTCTTTTGTTTTAGAGATTTTTTGTCTCTTTTTCTGACATGACATTCATTTCTGCACAAAGAGCAAAGTATGCGTATTTTCATTTTTTTGTTCATGATCGAGTCGCATGTTTGCATAAAATTTTGCATCCTATTCGGAAAACACATAAAACACAAACGATTTTTCCCAACAAGTGATTTTGATGGATAATAAATAAATATCAATAGAAATATTATTGTTTGAGTGCACTTGGTGAATAAAAACGCAGAGTCTGATTAATGCAGTACAGATCTGTTATGTAAAAAGTTGAATTTTCACCTTCTTTAAAGCTGGGTTGTTGTCATCAAACGCAACGTGATTAAATAAAAAGTTCCATAAAAGAGAATTATTAAATAAAAAAATGTACATTACAACAAGTAAAAAATAAAATTTTGAGAAGCTTGTCGAACATGCAAGTTCTGAACAATTAGTACATTATCGCTAGCTTTAAACTCTAGGAAAATTCAGGACAAGTCCAAAGTCATGGAGAATATTCTCTGATTTTGGTCAATTGTTCTCTAAATATCGAGTTGAGAATTACCAAAATCTGCTGAGGTATCAAAATTATAGAAGATTAGGAAACCCCTGGGTTATGACGATGAAAAGCAAGTACATGTACATTTGTAGTTTGTACGGCGTATCTAAGGAAAACTGTCGTGGAAATATTAATTTCTGCGCATTTTACAATTAGATTGGGTTTTAAATTCAGATTTTTCAATACTTTCATTGTTAGAAAAATAGAGACAGACATATATCGTAAAAGAATAATTATTGTCAGTATTTTCCAGACAAGAGTCGTGTTTTCTAAAACAATTATAAGGCAAACAATTGAGACCCATCCGCAGACAGTTAAATGATACGTTACTATTGATTAATAGCGGAAGCTTCAAATGATAGGGAAATTCGTCATTTATTGACGATGTACAAATATTATTGCACCCCTTGTTGCCCTGCAAAATGAGCGATGTTTTATTCATCATCAATTGATTTATTGTCTGCTATGATTGGTTCTTCAAAATACAATAAAAGTTCGCTTTGCCCATCAGACACAAAAGATAAACGAGACTATCTGAACTTTAAAACGCAGATTAACTTTATTATCTTCCAAATATTCAATCAGTAAGGTTTATTTTTTAGTCCATCTACTTGAAAACATTTTGTAAATTAACAGAGATTTACCTTTATCTTTAAAAAGTGTCCGATGGAATCAGATGATTTTTTGGAAGAAAGGCACTGCAGATCTTGCGAAAATGTTGCACGATTTCTGTGCAAGAATTGTAACTATTATTTGTGTAAAATATGTAAAATGAGGCATTTGAGATACAGGACTGCTGATGAACATTATGTTGTTCCATTAAACCACTCCGAAATCGCAGAGATGAATGAAAGATGTCCACTACATAACAGAAAATTCTTGGAATTGTTTTGCAATAAGTGTGTAACACCCGTGTGTTCAGTTTGTATGAGGGAAAAGCATAGTGGTCACAACATTGGGGATTTTGCCACAATTTATTCCACGGCTTTGGACTTCGTTAAGGACAAAATAGCTACAATTAAAAAGGACCTACTGCCAAGATGCAGGACTTCGCTGCGCGAAATACGAAAGAAAGAACGCATTCTTCAAAATCAGATTTCAAAACTGACCGAAACAGCGGACGAATATGAAGATTATTTAAATGGAACGCCTCACGAATTGGTCTCGTTTTACAGGAACCGGAAGTCTGAACCGGAAGAGGTATTGCTACCAGAGATCAAAAGCGAGCACTCTCAACTAGATGACAAAACGATGTTCCAGAAACTTTATAAAGCATCACACCTGGACCAATATATACGCGTTCGCGAAGCTATGAACAACGGGCGATCATCAAATCACTCAAGTCCCAGTGCCAGAGAAATGGATACCTCCGAAACTCAAACAGTTAACAATGAAATTTCGGTGCCAGTTGTAAAAAGCGCTCATCATATATCATGCACAGAAGACGGTCTTGTTTGGGTTAGCGACAACTTTGGGAATTTGGTTTTGATGGACGTCAAAGGCAAAAGTCTGATGAAGCTGGTCACCAACGGAGGGGACGAAGGTTATCACTCGGCAACAATCGACGGCGAACTGATCTACGCCGACAAGACCAACAAATGCGTGAAGAAAATCACGACCAACAAGGAGGTCCAAACGATCTTCAAAACGGGAATGTGGAGGCCAACGTGCGTCTTTTCCTCGCCAAAGAACAAAGACATCTTCGTTGGATTAGTGTCCGATCAATACGCAAAAATTGGGCGATTTGATAAGACGGGTCGTTCTCTCTTCGACATTCACTCGGACAGTAAAGGCGAGGCGTTACTGAAATATCCCCTGTACTTGACCGAGAACAAAAACTCCGACATCTGCATTTCGGACGTCAACAAACACGCGGTTGTTGTCATAGACACGTATGGACGACACCGTTTCTCTTACAAGCGTCAATGCAGCAATGGTGGTTTCTGGCCGCATGGAATCAGCACAGACAACGAAAGCCACATCTTGATCTGCAACTCCTACTATTCAAACCCCTCTGTAGAGATGATCGACGAAAATGGCGTCTTCCTCTACATCATCTTAGCCCAGAAGCACGGCCTGCAAAAACCCCGGGGCCTGTGTGTGGACAACCAGCAGCGGTTGTGGGTGGGGCAGTGGCACGACAATAAAGTCTGCGTGTACAAGATCACAGTGTAGAAGACCACAGAGGTCGCTTTTGTGTGGAAATTGACATCCTCAACCGCTCAATCAATGCACATGAAATGACTGTACGACTAATTCAAAGACTGGATTAGTAAATTACTTGGACACTTACAAATCAAGATGTTGATTTTAAGTCACAAGGCAAACTTGTTAACACACACTAGAAACCGACTATTGTTTTACCGGTGAGAAAACTATCATGTAAAAGCCAATCTAATTGAAGTTCTGAATCTTGATTTTCTTCAGATAAGATGGTAGTTAAAGTAATACCAAGCTTATAATTGGGTGTTGAAGGCCATAAACTTTGGTTAGCAAATTGTATAATGCAAATCAGCTGGGGATGCTTGCCTCTCCCTGGCACCTGATCCAATTTCCAGAATTTCCGACAGTTTGTGTTTTATTCTGTGTTTGCAGATTTGTACACTTTGTATTTTTGTATTGATTGACCAATAAACGTCATTTGTTTTCAATAAACGAATTTGTTAACGTGACATACAATACCATACATGTTTATATTAAAAAATTAATTCACTTTCCTTTTTACTATATATAGCCTTCTTGGTCTTTGTCAGTGGACATCCCATTTTCTTGTTTATTTGAATACTTTAATACCATAATTTGAAATTATGTCTATCACTTCCAAAATAAATAAAAACCAGTCATTAACCATTCAATACTTTATGCTGGAATATAAACTTTATGCATACAGGTATTGATTTTTCTGAATCGAGTTAACCATTTGAATGCACATACTAGTAGTAGTTTTAACTGGCATACATGTATATCCAGATTGACATTTTTGTCAAACTTTTAGAAAATTAAAAATATCACCCCACCCGCTAAGAATCTGTAGCATCAACACGTATGATTTTTTTTAACGTTTTATGCAATAATTCTTGCAATAAGTTAGAGACGAGACTTTTTGACATCCTAGACAAACCATTCTTCAATAAAAACAAAACTGAGAAATGTTCATATCGAGAGATTGTTCATTTTCAAAGTTAAAAACTCATTCTCATAAAAAAAATATTTGAAAAGATAACAGAGCTTTAGAAACCAAGTCTTTCAACATCCTTTTGGAGTGAACAGAGCACAATTTGTGTTCATTTGTTAGCAGACCTATTACCCTTGGATATTCAACCGACTATAGAATTAAATGTTTATTATCAACGCAGCACTTAAACTGTATGATATACAAAGTTATATTCCAATCTCATCTGTATTTTGTTTATGTCTTTGGAATGATTCATAACGCAAGAGTACTTTATATTATGAATGCCATCAATTTTTTTAAACGAAGTAGGCTACTGACAAGTAATTGAAGTTACAGAGCTTTTAACAATATCGTTTAAGTGACAAAGTAAAGACCTTGTTATGCTACTTCTAGGCACCTGAATTGGTACATGTAAAGGTCGCCCAGTGGGAAACGCTCGCATTGAGATCAAGAGACCCAGGTTTGATTCTCCTTCGCTGCGCCGCATAAAAACTTTCATAAGATGTTAACTTAGGCAGTGACTGTTCCTTCGCCAAGCACCAGGCAGTAAAATTGCAATCCACGATATTTTGGATGAGACGTTTAAAACCAAGAATTTGCGTCACGGAAGATAATGGCACAATAGAGAACCACAGCTTCTCAATGTTCCTGAGTGCTGAGTAAAGTCCTTTCGCCTGTATTCAGTGTCTTTATATCAGTAAAAAATTCAGTTTCCACAGGTCCATGTTTTTGCCCTGTTCTAATTTCGTCTTGACCATTTTTTGAGAGTTCACATGTTTTAATACCCCCTGTTCTGAGACATATGGCTTTTGCTCTGTCCATTCGTTTGTCTTTCTAGCTGTTTTTAAGCAAAAACTTCAGCCTTGGCTCTACCTTTTGATTGCTGAAAACTAGAACTTTCATACTTCACGTGTACCAATTGTCTTTTTGACCCTAGAGTCTGGCCTACTTTAATAGAGATTAATGAAGTGTCGGTCAGGATTCCTCCCATCCACACCCCCCCCCCCAAAAAAAAAAAAAAACTGGTCTGCAGAACAGTCTTTCCCTGGTGTTTCCAAAGATTTGTGTTTCTGTACCATTTATGACTCGTTTTGATAACTGGCTCAATATAAAGATTGATCACTGACAATATTATCTTCACTTTTAAATAATTAAAGTGAGGCCATGAACAAATAGATTTTTGATTGATAACAGACAAAATCCATGGTATTGTCAATGGATAGGTCATTGCCCTATTTTCAAACGAATTGCTTCAAGTTAATCAAAATTGGAAATCAATTTACAAAGAAGTTTAATAATCAGAATAATTTTGGATTTCATGAACCTAATTAAAAGAACAACAAACCCTCCTACACACTTTAAAACATAATTAAAAAAAATGTTACTAAGCTCCGTGAAAAATTCAATACATAAAAGAGTTCCGTTTGACTTCTGTTTGGTTCATTGAAATGAAAAAGTCAATTAAATTACTAGAGTTAAACAATAACAATAGATAGCGACGATCCTCTCCCTTTGTTTCTTAGAACTGGTCTGTTTGTCTTCATATAAAATTCATGATCAAGATCAATTTAAAGTACAAAGCAAACATTTACACATTAACCAAATGCTTTATCAAAACTTGAATAAAGACTAGCTGAGCATGAACAATAAAAAATTCATTGCAAAATTCGCAACCAAGTAATTATTTCAAAATTCAGACATTGCATCTATTCTAGTGTTTGTCTCTACATAAACAATTTAAGAATGTTCAAGTTATTAGGGTTGACATTGACAGTATCATTGCTATTATATGTTACATGTATTACCATTGATTGACCAATTTCTTTTAAATTGTTAGGCCAATCATTTTACACTAAATTGTATACAGACTTTTCCTTATTATCCCATGATGACAAGGAGCATGCGGCAGGTGAGACCCGTTTGACTGGAGATGCTCAGTCCTCCATGGCACCTGATCCCATCTCCTGATGTTTAAGAGGTCCAGTTTGCTCTGCTCCTGATTTGTATTGTTTTATGGACTTTTGACCTTGATAATTGATTGTTATCCCTATATTTTATTAAATTGAAAAAGCCTCAAGAAAATCACATGATCCTCAAGCTTTATTTTACTTGATAAATTACATGACTACACGTCTTTTATTAAAGTTGTGCAGCAGTTTCTGCTTGATTAGTACATTGCTAAATGTCTTGTGAATGTATATTCAAATAAAGCACATTCAAAAGCACTTATAGTGCCAAATCTCATACATGCTAAATTTATTTCTTTATCTCAAAGTCCCCCCCCTCCATCTAGTTTGAGATTATGAGATTTTGACTGTATATCTAGACATGACTTATCTACACCAATATATAAGGGTAATTAAAGAGAAAAGAATGTGGCATTATTTATTTTTAATCATTCTCAAAAAATATTTTAAAATGCAATAGGTCATCTCATCTCAAGGGTTTCAATCCACTCTACTCTTTTTGAAAGAGATGTGGAGTTGATCAAAATCCTCACTAGCAAAGACAATGGTCACCTTAGTTACTCAGACAACCAAAAAAAATTCAGATTTTTGCTCTGACATTTTATCAGCTAGTTCGTTTTTCACTCTTTTTTCCCTTATCCTTTTTCTTTGAGTCCACTCGTCTTGGTACAGTAAAATCTATCACAGGTTGTAGGAACTCATTCCTACTCCATTGAAATCCTGTATATGAGTTTCCAACAGATCTTTGGAATTTCTTGTCTTTTAAACACAGTTCTAATATTTCCTTCTCATCCAGACAGCCATATTCTTTTAGTTTTATTATGATTTCTCCAGTGGGCTTTCCCTTATTCTGTGTCAGTTTCACTTTTATCAGCATGTTGGAATCAACTGACGGCCATTTTTGGTCAAACACACTTTGATGCTGAAAAAGAGACAAACATGTACTTTTCAAAAAATTTCAAATTTAGTAAAAGTTACCCTAAAACTGGATTCAATAAAGCACCGTCACTGCATAAGTTGATGAAGAAAACTTTTGTAATCTTTCCAAAATAACTTTTATTAATATGGCTATCTTTAAAAACTTTTTAAATATCAAACAAATTAATCAAATTGAATTACTTTGGCATTATTGACTACTGTTACCATCAGATTTTAATTTAAAGTCCCCCCACCCCCACTGGACTTCAAACTTACCCATAAATACCCTGTGCCCCTGGCCACACTGCTAAGCCCTGCCCACAGCTCCTCGGCATAACTAGGGGCAAATGGGGCAATGATAATGATCATGTCAGCCAAACATTTCTCATACTCTCTGCTTACATGTTTAGCTTCATCTGGCACTACCTGAAAAATATTGAATGAAAATTAACCTTTCATAAAATTTAAATATTTTATACCACTTCAATTGGTTGAAAGCAACTTCTTATTCAAGTACAAATATATCATTATAACAGTAATTTGATCCAAAGAGTCTTATCATGTCGAGTTGACAGGCGCAGATCAGATCAAATGAGACGCGAAGCATCGAGTTTGATCTGATGATCTGCACCTGTCAACGAGATGTGATAAGGCTCTTCGGATCAAGTTACTGTTATAATGACAAATTTATTATATACCCCCTTATAACTAGCAAAATAAAACTTAAGAGATCAATTGTATAATATTGTGTAATATTCATTTATAAAACAAAGCATAATAACAAGGGATTTTTTTAACACGCAAAAAAAATAATGTCATGTTTCTGCATACTACATCATCAAATTCAGAGGGTGGTGCTATGGAATAGAAAACCTCAGTGTGGTGATCTGGAAAGTCGAATCACGACGTCACGTGATAGCGTAAAATCAACAGTAAAATTGAGTGATACACATTAGGTAGATAATAAAATGTGATATGTCATGCACATGTATACATAATTAAGAACATTAAAAAACATGCTAATTCAAATCTATGTTTAATTGTTTAAAAATCAATTTCAACCCAAATATCAATATCATTTATGCCTAATATATAAATACCTTTAGAGTATACCAGGTATTTATTGTTTTCTTACCTTAATTTTCTTCATGAAGTCAAAGAGAAGAGTCATTACAATACTGGTGTTAAAAAGTGTCTCCAATGATATTGTCACCTGTCAAAATATAACAATTTCAAAATACTTTGTATTTAGTTGAATATTAAAACTGTACTTCAATATTCTTTTCATACACTGCATATTATCAATGTAATGGATTATTCACCTCATGAATCAGGTGATTTCTGTGTTGGAAGAGTGCATCATCAATCTCTGTCAATTTATTAGGATCCACCTCTGTAGAAACAGGATCAGTAGACAGTTGTATGTACTTAGTAATGGTGTTCCAGACTCGAGTCTGCCAGCGGGTGACGTTAACAAAGGCTGAAATGTAATCACAAAGTACAATATCAAGCTAAGATTATAAAAGTTGTCTTCCCTTATTTTTCAGTATTAAAAAAATATTCTTTTAATTCTTGAAAAAGCCCTAAAATATTTTCTTATCAGTATCAATATGACAGCTACTACTGTACTCTGAAAGAAGTGAATCACAGTATACTACATCTGCATTAATTAATATACAATAACATAATTCTCTCCCCTCCCCTCTCAATTTTTATAAATGCAAAAAATTTCAACTAAATGATTATATTATGAAACTGTGGTACCTTGGGGAAGTATCTGAAAATATGATACCTGTAAAATATTGTCAAATCATAATTTTTACTGTGTTTAATTTTCCATATTTTTGAGGCATGAAGAGACCCATACAGCCATGTCCTAAACAAAGTGTTAAAATTGCAATTGACATCATTACATTTGCTGCAATAATGAAACCCTTTCTGATGTTTTTAATCTGATGATGTTAGGGGAAAAATGGAGATGGCAACAATAATGCAGGTAATACTACATTTTTTCAACCCTGAAATCAAATTCCAATGAACCAATATTTTTATCTGAAATCATGAAAATATATAAGGTTTTACAGTAATATGCTCTATTTAATGACTGTGGTACCTTGATTTGACCACTCCCTGTCTGATCTTGGAGAGACGGTTCCTAAAATGGCCAACCTGGTGGCATCCACACCAAACTGGTCTATAACATCCTGGAAATGAAAAATATTCTATTATTAATCCTTATCTTACTTCAGATCTGTCAAGCTGAACTAATGCTTATGCTCGCTGTTACATGTAGGGAACCTGACATTCATTTGCAGATGGAGTATACAAATTACGGATGTAAATTTTATGTTGGACCTGAATGCTTAACACCGTTTAGCAATCATTCATTTATTTAAGAAATAAGGTATCATTTTAAAACATCCATTACATATGCAGTAATGAAACCCTTTCTGATGTTTTTAATCTGAATTTCATAAAGCCCGCTTTATGATGAATTTAATACTACATTTTTTCAACCCGTATTTATAGCCTGATATGTTTTAAAATGATACCTATTATTATATTTACATTTGTGTCTTATTTATACTTTATATTTACCTGATTGTGACTTTTAATGTGTGAAATGCATTATTTTTCAAACCCAACGGCATGTCTGTAATCCACACGCCCGTCAACCCTTTATGACGTCACTGGAAATGAAAAATATTCGAACGTTTATCCATACGCACATGTATGACCTCTTGACCCCGTACTGGTATTTATACAGTTATAGATACGCATTGCTTTCTGTAGTGTTATACAAAGGAAACATTTGCAAATGTAAATATACTTTGATGAAGGATGAAAAAAAAACATCATTCAGGATGACAGAGTATTAACAATAAATTTACAAATACATTAAGTAGTTTTCCACCCCTTTACTTACTTGTGGATCCACCCCGTTGTATTTAGATTTACTCATCTTCTCCCACTGTACAATAACTTCCTCTCCTGTTCCCTTCTCTACTGGTTTCTCACCTGTTAATAAAATATAATTTGACTTCCATGAGACTTTGATCTAAAAGGTTTTAATATTTACAAACATTGATCAAAAAGAACCACTTTAATACTGAATTTTTACAACAAGTTAAATTAAAATAGTTATATATGTAGATCTTTGTATGTACATGTAGTTTAACTTGCATTGCAGTAAAGTGTTCTTCCATGTTTGGTACCTTCTACATTTAACATACCAGTCATTTTTCTAACAAATATTTATGCATGTACAAGTACCTGAGAAGTCCACCTGTTCTTTTCTAAGATATTTTCCACTTGACTTGACACTGAACGATTGACCCATGACCATGCCCTGAGTCAGGAGATTGACAAATGGTTCTCTGTGTGTCAGTCTCCCATAGTCACATAAGAAGTGATTGAAAAATCGGGCAAAATACAGGTGTAGGATTGCTGTAAAAATACAAATATAATTTACACAATAAACATACATTTAACTAAAAATAAATCAACTTTTTACCTTAATGAAAAGGAGAGATTTTGAGAGAGATCAAGAGAGATCAAGAGATATATAGAGAAAGAGAAAGATTTCGTGAGAGAGAGGGGGAGAGAGTAAAGAAGCTAGGGGAGAGTGAAAGAGAAGCTGTGAGAGCAAAAAAGAGAGATGCAATACTATACATGTACCAGTACTTTTAACTTAATTCTGCATAAAATTGTTAATTTTGTCACATACAATTTTGCTGCAGCAACACATAAAACCATTCTCTTTACTAACCATGTTCTTTTCCTCCTATATACAGATCAACTGGCATGTACTTGTTGACTTTATCTGGTGAGTAGGGTGCCTCTGTGTTGTGGGCGTCCAGATAGCGCAGGAAGTACCAGGAGGAATCCACAAACGTGTCCATAGTGTCCGTCTCCCTCTCAGCAGGGGAACCACATCTGTCAAATAGTAAATAATATTATATAAGATTATTTTCGTAATTTTCATTGGCTGAAAGAACGTCATGTGATATTCCTCCTTTTGTGATGTCCACGCGGAAAATGATATCGCATGACACACTGTTCAGATGCACCAAAGTTATGTAGCACCTGACGTCATAATATAAGAAGCGTGTTTTTTAACAATTGTGACATAATGACAGTCGAGTCTGTTCAGTTAGTACTGTGTCAGTGCATTCACTTTGAGTGATTATATAATATAACACTATTATGGACTTCAGTGTAGGTCGATATGTGGTTATAAGGACTCATGGCAATATTGATATTGACCTCAGACACAGAAAATGATAGCGACCTCGCAGGCTTGGTCATATCAATTGCCATGATTTAATAACCACATATCGCTTACATTAAGTTCATAATTTCTAGTGAGTATGGTTTATTAGAATCCATATCATGATATATCAGCCCAGGTTGACTGAGGTGATAAATATGGGACACAAGGGTTGATATGAGTCATGATATGGGTTTGAGTACGTAGTATGCTTTACATTTTATACCGTAAATCTGGAAATTTTTGCTGTAGATAAATTTTTAGCAAATTTGCGAGTTCATTGCATTCGCAAAAATATTTTTCTTAAAAATAAATCACCAATAAGAAAATGTAAACAAAGCAGTGGTCATTCGCAAAATTTTGAAACTTAAAAATTAATCAACAGCAATTTGACCCAAATTCGCAAAATAAAATCGACGTAAAAATTCCCAGATTTAATTATTCAAAATATAGAGAGAGAGAGATGAAAGAGACAAATAAAGGCATTGAAGAAGTTTCTCAAGAGAAAAAGTGAGAGAACTCTTGTACCTAATATTAAATAGAACCAGTTTATTGGTCAGTGTAAAAAAAATTGTGAGAACATAAAAGTTGTAAATATAGGTATGTTTTCTGAGGTTGGGGTCTACACCATTTCTTCAATCTCACACAATTAGGACGCAACAAAAAGTTTTTTACTGACTTTATACATAGTCAGCGCATTTTTGCAAATTTTCTCCTTTTAACAGTAGTTGTTTATTTGCATAAGTAATGTTGTGTTAAAAGGAGATTAATAGACAAATATGCGCTCATGGTTAACAAGAGAAAAAACTGCTTTTTCTTACACTCGCTCTCTCAGTTGTAACCAAGGGCTGTGACATATATTATAATTCATCACGTGATATCTTTCCTCAGGTAATTTTGTGAATACTAAATTCCGTCATGTGACCTATTGGTAGCATGTTTTGTCATAACTAGGACACTGTGTTTGAACACGTTGAATAGTCAGCCATGGATTTAAAATACTCTTCACTTACATGGATGGGTTCATACATTTTAAACCTTTGTAAATAATGTACTTGTGCCCACAGGGGCCGGTAACATACTGTTTTTGATTTTACGAAATCACTATATATATATACAAAAAAGGAAAGGGCAACAACGTCAGCCCGAATTTACACAGGGTCGATCTCGGAAATATTTCGTATTTCATAGAAAAAAGAATGTAGCCAATTAAATTGTAACTAGAAATAATACTACAATAAATATTCTTTAATAAAACAGAAACCTAGTTACTTTTTATAGCGTTTAAGTTGGGTAATACTAACTTGATATCCCGTTGTGCTAGTCGATGTACTTTAAGTCGTCCACTAAAACGAGGAAAAATTCGCACGTTTTCTCCAGTTTTGAAGTCTTTCCGGAGATGGAAAACACAAAGTAAAGATCCAGCGTTCACGAAAATCATCTTTTTCTTTTGTTAATTGCAATTAAAAGGTACAACATCTCCGATTTGAATAAATACGGTAGTTTTTTTCGTTCACAGAGAGGCTCGAGCCTAGAACAGACGACATTTTGGAAAAACCCATGATTGGTAAAAGGCGGAGGGTGATTGGTCAGATCTGTTCTAGAAAAGCACCATTGACCAATCACATCTAGCGTTAAATATTGGATGCAATGTTTAGCGAATTTAGTGGACGACTTAAACTACATCACTTGCATTACAGGATATCGGATCTGCAAAACACGACTTACACGATTCTTAAATGACCGCGATGGTATTTTAATTAAAGAGTGATTATTACTGAATGATCCCAGACATTATTTCACCAACTGCAAGGTATTTTATTGAAAACACGAGTCATTTCCGAGATCGACCCTGTGTAAATTCGAGCTGACATTGTTTCCCTTTCTCTTTTTGTATACATATAGTGATTACGTAAAATCAAATACAGTGTGTTACAGGCCCCTGTGCTTTTGCCATACAGAATAAACAGCAAGATGAAAAATACAGATCTCGTAATTTTTGAATACATGTCAGTGTTATTCATCCAATCTAATTTTAGATCCATTCTTACGATCTTAGCTCCTAATCTCATACATACGTAATGTTTAATCAAGGGCAGGTAAGTGGAAATTCTCTGTATTCGGAAAACCGTAAGGACAAAACATGAAATTAATTATTGTGTTACAGTCTAAAATTATTTTTAACATTTAAATTAGGTATCAAATGGACATACTTCTGTAGTAAATATATAAAAATGAAATTAGGTTTACATTTAAAAGCAACAGAAGCGACCGAAAAAGACCCAAAACACAGCGTTAATTAAGGGCAGTCATCCTTTGTTTTTAAATTGGCAAACAATTTGCATAAATTTGAATTCGTTTTCATTAGTTTAAACTTACTTTGGACAAGATACATTCAGCCAATCAGTGCTTTCTTTTAATGGTGAAGATTTCCCTGTGAATTTTGCAATGGATGGAAGTTTTACTGGCAGATCTTCCAGGGGAACAGGTATTGCCTATAAAGTAAGTTTGAATTAATTCATTTTTGAGAAAAAAGAGGGAGAGAGAATGTTATAAATGGACCAGTCCAATAGCAAAAGTGAGAGAACTGTTGCTAACAAAAATTTTAAAAGCTACAAGCACATGTATTCAAAAAAAATATTTCACTTTGGGTGAGAGGCTACAAATTGTTAAAGAATTTATTTGGTTTCTTTGCAATGGCAAGATTACAGTTGTGTTTTGTGACATTTTAGAAGATAGACTGACCTTACAATTGGGGCAGTGGATTATGGGAATGGGTGTACCCCAGTATCTCTGTCTGGAAATCAGCCAGTCTTTAGAGTCCAAACTCATCAGAAAACCTCCGATCTTCTTCTCCTGATGATACAAAATATATACATTTAATGCTATGGAGAAAATGTCAATTATGTGAAATAGGGAAATCATTTTATTGCATGTTGATAAACATTTCAAATCCAAATGTTAAACTTCATATGACTTCAAATCTATTTTTACTCACTTTTGCATAATCCAATATTTTTTCATGGGCCTCTTCCCTACTAAGTCCAGAAAACTAATAAAACAACAGAATACTCTACGATCAATCACATACATGTTTGATGAACACACAGTAATGAAAATGTAGAAATTTAGCCCTCTTCATTGCTTGTTTTGAAAAGTATCATTTTTTACTAAACATGTTCTATACAGATAGAGATCATAGACACTGCTGCAATTAGAATAGTACCTGACCTATATATATACCTGTCCTGAGTTCACAATACGATTATCTTCCACAACCTCAGCATAGGTAAAGCCCATTTTGTCAGCTGTTGATTTGTCTTCTTCATTAATGCTGGGAATGGCTACAATTAAGAAATTAACAACTTAGAATGAACAGCAATATCAGTATCTCGAATACTATTGATATTTTTGAATGATTTTTAAATCCCAGTCACTTTTTTCATGTATTTTAATCTCAATATCTTAAATCCTTAAATATCTCAAAGATTCTTCTTGGTTCCATCAAGTTCAAGGTCATCTTCGCTAGTCAAGGGTTTCCAATCTGAAATCTACTCTACAGAGTAAATTTAGGATTGGAAACTCTTGCCTAGCAAAGATGGTTCAAGGTATTCAGGTTTGACTATAGTTTAGTGAACTTTCACTTAAACACCAATTCTACACTTCCGTTATAAATTCTTTTTTAAAAACAAATTATCTGCAAACTTCAATAAAACTTTAATAATTCACCCTTAAAAAGAGCAGAACCATTGTTAATATCATGAATCGGTTAGTGAACAATATTTTTTTTTAACTGCATAAGGTTGCCCCCCCCCCCCACTTCTCCATCTCTCTCTCTCCATACCTAAGTGTTCATTGTCTGGGGTATAAGGAATATTTGGTACACCCGGAGACACAATGATAGGGACAGCATCTCCTGTCAGGGGATGAACAGCCTCCACATTTAATAAAATCTCTGAAACAAATAATTTAAATCCACTAATCATTAACGCTGCTTTTGTCTATTTAAAAAAATAAAATTCATACTTACTGATACCATAAGTATCTAACAATTTTCATTTAAGACATATAAATACCTTTTGAATCTTTCTTGTCTGGAAACTGAAAACAAGTTGAAAAAGATTTTCATTTTTGAAAAAAAAAAAAAAAGACATAAAATGCAAACAATAGCATTCGAAAACATGACCATATTATATTGACAGAGTTATGTCCCTTTACCTTGTAATATTTCTGCTCATTAAGCCTGTGATGGGTGGGGAGAGCTATATGGGACACTCCATACAGACACTCAGGGGTCATCGTAAACACTGATACAGGCTCCTCCCACTCAACACCATCACACTTAAAAAATACAGTAAAACTAGGTTATAAAGAAGTCACTAGGACCTTTGAAATTACTTCACTATATCCATAACTGGTTATATCCGTATAAAGAATTCGTTTATTTATATAGCTGGGGATCCAAGATAACTTTGCTGTATCCATGAATTCGCAATATCTGTGTTCGTAATAAACAAGTTTTTCCATAAATGTAAAGGTTGAACTGCTACAAGAAGAAAAAGATATTAAGCTATAGTGTAAGAGGGGACATAATTATGCTGTCCTATTTTTGAAATGTAACAAATTGTGCATGGAATCTTTAGTCAATACTGAGTGTCTGGAAGGTTCTGTTGACTCTTTAACTGGTTTTATTACTTTAAACCAATTATTATTCATGTCATTTTTTATTTTGCAATTCGTCAGTTTGAAATCAATCCACGATTAATTTACATGACTGAGGAAAAATTCGCTATAAATACAAAGCAAAATGAATGGTTCGTGGCGATTCCCTATAAATACAAAGCAAAATGAATGGTTCGTGGCGATTAATATTCTCGAGTTAAAGTAGGTCGCAAAACTTGTGAATATTTCTTGCACGTGAATAAAAATTGGTTTACAGTATATGTAAATGTTGGAAGATAGCATGGAATGTTCAACATCACAACAGCAAAACACAAATCCCCTGGAAACGCCTGAATGTGCCTTTATTCCATCTGATACCGATGCTATTTATTTGTGAGAACTTTATTTTGCAGACTGTCAAAAATTTCATCCTCCTGTATATTAGCATTATTTAAAATCATACATAGTAATGACCAAAATTAGTGAAAGTTTTATCTTGCTTATGACTATCTGATGAAAATCTTGCAAAAAAAAAGGTGTGAAAACTAAATGATCTGCAGTAACAAATTGTGAAATATCTGCTATCATAAGACTTCTTGTAATCAACAGCTCAGGTAACTGCAGAACTGTAGCTCTCTGCTAGAGAAAATTCAGATAAATCAGAGAGCTACAGATTCAAGCATTGTAAAAACCTTCGATTTACATATCAAAGGTTTTCACATAAATACAATTCTTGGATCTGTAGCTCTCTGCTTTATCTGTCCAAATTTTCTTGAACAGAGAGCAACAGTTTTGCAGCTACAAGTCAGATACATAAGTTTTTTTTTTTTATTTACCCTTAATTTGAAGTCAATCCTTGTTCCATTGCAGTCCCCAATCCAACGTTTCTGTAATTTTTTAACTTCTTTCCATAAATTATCATCTACCTCGGACAATCCATCTAACAGTGGCTGTGATGTAAAAAAAATAAAATGAGTTACTCCACAGACAGTTGCTTTGAATGAAACATTTACCTGAGCAATACTGTAAAGGGGAAATAACTTGTGGTGTAACTATTTGCAATATTCAGGGTGTAAGTAGATCAGTAAATTCAAGAAACACAGTGAATAAGTTTTTAATCAAACATTTTTTCTACCCTTAAGTGTTGTTGATGATTATCTCAATATATTTGTTGGGAGCAAAGACAGCATTTCTATCAATCAGAAAAAAATTATCCAATTCTTCAATCTTTACAATTTTTATTTTCAATACGACAAGGATTAATATGCTTAGAGAAGCCTTTTCTCACAGTTAATGTTCTCTCATCCTACATTCTTTTAATATACACTTAATGATTTTATTTGAATTCACTACCTTTGCATATGCTTTGGTTTTAATGAACCACTGTTTAAGGTAAATCTTTTGAACTTTGGCCCCTGACCTCCAGGAACAACCTTTCTCATCTATCTGCTCATTGGCTAAAACAGTTTCATCCACAGGGTCCCAATTCACAATTTCCTGAAATTTAAAACACACCAGTTGTTATAAATTCTATAACAATTAACTTATATCATGTAATGTGCAGTGTACATTCCTGGATTATGAAGTCACAATCATGATGACGTCATAATACTGTATAGCAGGTTAAAATCCGGTCGGAAAAGATCGCGATTTGTTCAATTTTCAGCAAATCACGGTCGTTTGAATTCGCGGAGAAGGAAAAACCATAAATTTCTTGAACAGTACTTGCAAGCATTTTTCTGTAGGTACAAAATATTGTGTGAACTGCTATTTCCCGTCTCTGTAGTATAATATTAAAGTCTGTAATGTATATCGCGCATATCAGACAGAAAAGTAAAGTCTATATATTGTGTCAATTTTGATCCCGATTGAATAATAACGAAACACCGGTCTGATACCGATTTAAAGTGAAAATAATGCTACGCATTGTATTTTTTTTATTTCCGGGTCCAAATCAGAAAAAAATTATACCGTAGTAAAAATGTTGATCTTTTAATCATATAATTGAAATTAATTAATTGTCGTTACCCTGTTTACCAAGTAAATACCTTGATTAAAGGTAATGACTGAGTGATACGCACGGGTGAAATTAAACATTATTATTAAATAATTACATTGCACGTCTACTAGATGGCAAAATTAATCGTTAGCTATAGAAATGAATTAAACAATTAAAAAGCTTTAAAAACAGCAACAACTACGTGTTTGTAATTGATCCAGACACTCGCATAATTATAAAGACAGTCTATATCTATTCACAGAAAATAATAAAATTTCAATTTATCTTCATAAAACTTTTTAAGAATTATTCACTGTATGTTGAATTCGCGGAATTTCTTTTTCCGCGAATATAGCGAAAATTAACTCCGCGAGTTAATTTCCTGCTGTACAGTAGTGATGACGTCATTGAGTACTTTGTACTGTATATTGTTACCATGTAAATAACTGAGTTTAGTTTAGATAAAGTATTTGTACCGAACAGATGTGTTTTATCTTGCTCGTTATACCAGTTTAGACTTTTAACACTGTGTACAGATGTATTAAAAAATTCTTTGTAATCAATACTGCACATCACTTTTATGTGTGAGAACTTTATCTTCCTTTACATATGCAAGACCCTCTCATTGCAAAAGTTTTATTCTCAAACATATTCATTATGTACATATACAACCAAATTCTGCATTACTTTTAAAATGAAATTACATGACCTATCGTATATACTGGCCTATAAGTCGGTTCACCTATAAGTCGGAGGTATTTTTGAAGCTTATATTAGAGGGATTTACAGTAAAATTTGTCTAATCCGGACTCTGAGTACTCCGGACTTTTGTCCATTCCGTCTATAAATTTTAGTCCCATGCACTTCTTTAGCAAATTCATTAGAAAAAATTCTGTGCAGTCCGGATACTGTCTATTCTGTATTCCAAACGGCCATACTGGTCCCAACTGCTCATAATTAACGGTAATTATTTCCTCTAATCCGGCCACACCTGAGTTACTTCAAAGCAATTAACACCTTTCGTGGTGGATTTGATAATCTGTGTTTACATTAGCAGTGCCATGAAACGAACTCAGTGAAATGCGGCGTTGACACAGCCCAGTTGAAAAAAAAATTACTAGTATATGATTAAATTACAATTAAAAAAAAAATTTAATTATGTTTTAACTCGATCCTTTTACCACATTATAACAAAAATACAAAAAATAAATATGTACGCGATTTACAAATCAATATACAAATCGGGATCGAAAATCAAACGCATTTCAAAATGGCGCCATAACACTGTGGTTGAAGACGTAATTTTTTACATAAAAATTAAAAGTTAAATCTGATAATTAGCACATCGTAAATAATTGTGCATTACAGTTTTTACATTGAATGAGCTCTTTGACAAGCGAAACCTGATCCGCTTGATATATAGTAGGCCTATATTGATTTTGATGTAGGTAACATTTCACCCGACTTTCAAACTTCGTGAACAAACAAGAAAATACAGTAAGTCATAAGAGACTATTTTATAATTTCTAGACTCCAAAATATTGATTGATTTCATTATTTAATTATAATTTATATTATGTATAATAATGAACTTGTAAATAAACAATGAAATTTTCAAAATTAAAATTTTCCTGCATTTTTCCTGCACTCCGGATTCTGTGTAAACCGGCCAAATTTTATGGAACCGGCGGTAGCCGGTTTGGACAAATTATACTGTACCTTCTAAAATAACTCTCTCTTTATAACTCACCTATAAGTTGGACATAGAGTTTTGAACCAAAGTTTTACTCCCAAACATTCGAATTATAGGTGAGTATATACGGTATCTTGTAAAAATAAGTTTAGGCATGGTACAGTAAATTCAGTTGTTTACTTTCCTGAGAAAAGTTTAAGGTGTGTTGAACTCTTACTTTTCTCTGTTCTATCAGCCCAGCTTCAAACATTTTAAGGAATATGAACTGTGTCCATTTATAGTATTCCGGATCACAAGTGGCATATTCCTGTAAAAAAAGACACCCAAACAAAATGTAACCAAACTTCTTGTTATATTAAATATTATTTATCTAAAATTGAATAAGATAAAATGCATAAAGGGGAGTAACTCACTGTATTCCAATCAAAGCTGAAGCACATGTCATCAAGCTGTTTTCTCATGGCAGTAATGTTTCTGCAAAAAAGTAGTAAAAGTTAGCAGATTACATCTAAACATTAACTATATTTGTAGTGAAGTCGATTAACAATTCAACCATATAAACTTGAAAGAATTTAGGTTCATAGGTTGTACTCTATTTAAATTTTTTTGAAGGGGGGGGGATTCAGCTTATCTTTAAGAATTTTGGAATAAAATGGAAGATTGCAAATTTAGACATCATAATGTGTAAAATAATGAGAAAATGAATGTGTCTTTTTTTTATTTTAAATGTGTGAACTTTGTACAGGTACTTTGATACCTTCTAGTCCACACTTCTGGAAGTTCCCCATGATCAATAGCTGCATTTTCAGCAGGTAAACCAAAAGCATCCCAGCCCATAGGATGAATGACCTTTACAAAGAAACAATGGTAAAATATTACACTGAATTTATATGCATATATATATTAAATAAGTAAGTTTTTGTATCCACAACTTGCCAAGCAGAAACAATTAACAACAAGTTCCAGTATAGTAAGCGATGAAAGAGAGGGATGTTCTTTTAAGACTATAATACATCTTTGCCAGATAGGCAGTGAAAACAAGCAATGATTTTTTTGATGATTTACATCTTTGCCAGTCAAGCAATGAAAGCGAGCAATGATATTTGTGATGACTTACATCTTTGCCAGTCAAGCGATGAAAACGAGCGATGACGTCACTGATACTGTACACCCTGACGTGACCCATGTGGAGCTTACCACTGGGATAGGGAAACATGGACAACACGTAGAACTTCTCCTTGGTGTTCTGAAAATAAAAGATATCATGACTGTTCAACTAACATATATGCTTTAGAACCAGCAGATCGTATGTTTATTTTTGTGGGGGCCCAGAATTGAAGTGAGATGCTTCATAGTGTGACCTTTATAAAGGTCAGGACTACTCACCCTCTTCATCTTTAGAATTCATGCATTAGTAAATCTTTGCAAAAGAATGATTTGCTTGCAAGCATTCTATAAACTATATATGTACCTCTTTCTCTTGTACAATTTTAAAAATTTAGCAGTACTGTTCAAGGGTTTTAATATTCCTGACAACATTTCCTATACAATTTCCATAAATAAAATTATTTCAATATATAATCTTTTGTCTTTTAAAATTACTTTCTAAACTATTTTTTGAATGCTATGTTTTTTTTTTATAGATAAAAATTGTGTTTTCTATGTACCACTTTTTACCTGAGGTCTGTTGAAGCATCTTTCATTGTTGTTTTTCTGTAGAAGAGGTATCCAATGCTTTTCTATATCAGCTCTGACTTCAGGTGTAAATTCAGATGCATCCTATTAAACATGATGACAATTATTTAATGATATAAATATTTACATCCACTGAATATTTTCTCCTTTATTTCTTAAGAAAACCCAAATGCGTTAATCACTGCATGAACTACATTAGACATGTCGCCTGTACAGATTTCTTGATCAGTGGCTGTTCCATCAATGAAACGTATAAAGACGTTCGCATCATTAATACAATAATTGGATAAAGAAACTCTAAATGTCATTAAAGAGAAGAATGCCTTGGCACGCAAGTACCTGGTACACAAAGATCCAGATGTTAGAAGAAACTACAATCGTACTCGAAACAAAGCAGGGAAACTAGTAAGGAAGGCTAGGAAGAAATACGAAAAAAATCTAGCAAAGGAAGCAAAGAGTAATTCAAAGAGAATATGGCAGTATATCAACTCAAAGAGTAAAAGCAGACAAGGGATTGCAGATTTATGCACCGACCCTAGAGATCCGAAATCAGAAAAAACGGATGATGATGAAACAAAGGCTAACATTTTAGCGGACTTTTTTAGTAGTGTTTTTACCAAAGAACCAGATGGTGAAGTACCACAACTTAAAGCCAGAAACATCCAAATTCAATGGGAACAACGTTACATAAAGGAAGAAACTGTTAAGAAAATACTCAGAGAACTTAAGGTGGACAAATCTCCAGGATTAGACAATTTTCATCCAAGGTTTTTGAAGGAACTACATGAGGAGCTGTCGGTACCACTAACTATGATATTCAATAGATCATTGGAGGAAAGAAGGGTTCCAATGGAGTGGAAAAAAGCCAGAATAAGTGCTATTTACAAGAAAGGGAACAAGTCCTTAGCAGGAAATTATAGACCTGTGAGCCTCACATCAGTCGTGTGTAAAACAATGGAAAAGGTAATGCGGGATCAGATCACTGAACACTTCACAAGGAATGATCTATTTACAACAAGGCAGTATGGTTTCATGGGAGGGAGGTCAACCGCACTACAACTACTCAGAGTCTTAGATGAATGGACGGAGGCATTAGATCAGGGACACACCATAGATTGTATATATATGGACTATCAGAAAGCATTTGATACAGTTCCTCATAGACGTCTTATCAGCAAGCTGAAAGCATATGGAATAGGACTTGAAACAATTCAGTGGATCCAAGACTACCTAAGGGATAGAACACAACAGGTTACAGTGAATGGGAGAAGTTCCGAGTGGCATGATGTAACATCCGGCATCCCACAAGGCTCCGTCTTAGGACCGATATTGTTTGTAATATTCATAAACGACCTACCAGAGATCGTCGAGTCAATGGTATACCTTTTCGCAGATGATACAAAGATTTTTAACATTGTGAAAGAAAATGGAGATCAGGAAACACTGCAAAGAGATCTTGAAAAACTCACTCAGTGGAGCAACACTTGGTTGTTGAAATTCCATCCTGAAAAGTGTAAATATATGCATATAGGGAAAAAGTCTTCACAAGAGGTGTCATACAAGTTATTAGGAGAATCTTTAGAGCGTGTTCAGGAAGAAAAGGACATAGGAGTAATCATCGACGAAAATTTAACATTTGAGAAACACATATGCGAGAAAGTAAAGAAAGCCAACTCGACATTTGCCATGATTAGAAGGATATTTCAACATTTAGATGAAAATACATTCATTCCGCTCTATAAATCTCTGGTTCGAACACACTTGGACTATGCAAGCTCAGTCTGGTTCCCATACAAAACTAAATATATTGAGATGGTGGAGGGAGTGCAAAGAAGGGCAACAAAGCAGATACCTGGAATGTCAGATCTTACCTATTCTGAGAGACTGAAGAAACTCAAACTACCAACACTCAGCTATAGAAGACACAGAGGAGATATGATAGAGATATATAAAATTACGAGTGGAAAATATGACACAAAAGCAGCCAACTTTGTGAAATTTAGGAGAGATCATGTAGGGAGAGAAACTGCAAGGGGGAATTCCAAGCAACTATTAATCCAGAGAGCCAGATAAGATATCAGAAAATATAACTTCACCCTGAGAGCTGCTAAGGTCTGGAACAGTCTACCAGAGGATGTTATAAGTGCGAAGACTACTAATTCTTTCAAGCAACGTTTGGATAAACACTGGGAAAATCAAGACATTTTATATGACTATAAGGCTACAATATCCGGAAGTCACATAGTGAGTTATACTAAAACTGAAGTAGGATATAGGGAGTCCAATGAAGAGGATCCTTAGGGAGCCTGAATTGGAAATCAACGATAAGTAACGATAAGTAATAATTAATCTTTTTAATCTTACTTTAAATGATTATTTAAACAGATATAAATATGAACAATAAAATGCTTTCTTTGTCTGTTATTACTGGAATTAATGGTCGCAGCTATTGCAGAAAAAAATTACATAACCCGCTTACGCGGGTTATGTATTTTTTCTGCAACAGCTGCTTCCGTTAATTCCAGTAATAACAAACAAAGAAATCATTTTATTGTTTAAATGATGCTTAATTTTTGCTAGATTATAAATTAAATTAAACATTTTATTAACTTTCATCTTCTTTATGTTGAAATATAGAGCAATAAATGTATATTTTTAGTGAGTGTCCGTTTTTTTTAATACATGTATATGTTACTTTGAAAAATCTTAAGGCAGTGTAACTAAGATAAGATCTGCAATGTATCGTCTCTCATTGTAGCATATAATAAAGAGACTTAATCTTCCCTCAACAAGTCAGTTGACAACTCTGACCTCATCTGATTGAAGGGATTCCTCAGTTTTAACGTAAGGCATACAATTTGATTCTCCCCCGCACAGTCAAAGTTTAAATGGATAAGGGGCCAGGAATCATAGGTATGCCCATGTAAGTTATTAGATGACAAACTGATAGTCTCAATACATGTACAGTGGTCTACACCTCTATATCTAAAAATCAGTTTTATAGTAAAGAGGGGTAGACCTGTGTAGACTATCATTTTGTTATCTACAAACTTACATGGGGATCGCCCATGTCGGGAATAAAAGTCTGAAGATTTCAAGGTCATGCTAGGTAGAATAATATAATTGTGTCTCGGGAACAAGCCCTCACCACAGTTAGAATACCTCCCATATACTCGCAATGTAGCAAAAAATTGCAGAATCCCTCCGAAAAGATTTTAAAGAATACAAAGGGATTTGCACTGAAAAAAACTTCCAAATTAATTATAACAAAGCTTTTTGGGGTTGTGTAAGTACTCAAACCTAAAATATAATCCAAATAAAGACAAAAATTTAACTAATTTTCTCAACGTTTTTTCTCGCTCCAAATTTACATGTCATGTCTAGTTCGGAACTCTTTTGATTGTTCATAGTACATGCACTGAGTACGAGTTATCACCTGTGTTTATTTTGCAACATTGTAAATACACAGAACAAATTCTTATTAATTAAACGGGGTCCATAGGTCATTTTTTCATTTTAACGATAATTAAACATTCCTATCTAAGGTCATGTATGTTATGTCAATTAATATAAGAATCTCATTACCCAATTTCCAGTTTTGCTGTAGATAAATCGGCAAATATTGAAACCACGGTTACTCTTCAATTGTCGGAGAATGGACCAACTGAAGTGCTTATTGATGTGAACACGAGACATTTTTCAACTTGGACTGTTCACATAGCGGCTACATCACACATGAAAAATAACTTCTCCCTTTGAATTTGCAAATATTAAAGCTTTCAAAAGTGCATTTTCTAAACATATATGATTAAAAAAATGAACGCTGCCCCTCCTAGACCTTTGTAACTTCAATAAACTTCAAAAATCACTTGACTTGGTTGAAGTCACGGTGCGGAAAGTCGGAATGATAAGAAGCACGCTAAATCTAGAATCTCATCGGATAACAAAATATTTTCCGGAATGTTTTAAGACACGATTATTTTTTACTTGGACTGAGTACAGGTACTCATGAGGATGAATTAGATAATTTTAACGGCGTCAAAGATCAGCCACAGATAAAAAAAAAATCAAAATGCATTTTTTTTTTATGCAATTTGGCATAACCTGTCAAGCAATTTCAACGAACATAATATTCGATCGAGCATAAATTTAATGTGAATTGGAAAACACATCTATACCTTAATTAAAAATAATTACTTATAAATTTTCACAACTTGCACTTCATTTCTTAAAACAATGTTAAATGCATGGTACTTCTTGTATTCGCCCCCTCCCCCCTTTCGATAAAAAAATTGTTCTTTCCTTAATTAATATATCCTTTATTTCTCGTCAATCAGATGATGGACTAAATTGTTTTTCCACTTGGGAAAAAATATTTTGAAATACTATTGTTTAATCACTTATCCGATATATATCACATTGTTTGTTTTTGTTTACATCTTTTAATTCTGAGCAACGACTATAGTCAGTTTCTATATGCTGTATATTGTGGGTATTTTAAAAGTCTGAGTTAGTAAAACTGTTTCTAATTCGAAATATTGATGGAAAGTAAAGTTTAATTTTATGCTAAAAAGACACAATATCAACTTAACAATTCCCGTAGATGAAAGGGCTGAATTCAAAATCTACAATTGTTTTTTAATTTTTTTTGTTACAATATATGTATACTATCTTGAAAATGGTCACATTTAATGTAATTTAAAAGATGCATGTATTTTATTAGCCATTTCCTCCGAACCCAACTTCTTTTGGTTTATTAATCATAATAATCATTGCCCACTAGCTCCCTACTTTCTATTTACATTTGAGTCTTTGTAGGTTTGATAAACATCTAAAAAAATTATGAAAAAAAATAATCTAGATTTTTATCTATAAAAATACCAAGAGGTCTAGTTAAAGAGTCATTATCAAAAATCGCCAAAATTTTGGTCACAAGCCGATAAAAAAGTATATGAAGTAAAAATTATATAAATTTTCACATCACTATTTAGAATACATTATTCTGTAGTTGGCAGAATATTAATTTTATAGCTGTGTGATATATTTAAAGAAAAAATGCATTGATAATAGCTCAAATTAGCACATTTTGTGATGTCCTACACTCCTTTCCATTGAATTAACAAGTGTTTTATGGCATATGTTGTTCATTTTCTTTTCATTTTTTTCCTTGTATGCCTTAAACTATTCATAATAAATGCCATAAAAACACTAAAATTGTCTTAAATAAGCTCATCTTGTAAATATGAAGACTAAAAGGTGTGTCCCACGAGTTTTTGTCTCTCCTGTTACGCCAATGAAAATCAAGAAAATAGAAATATTTAGAATGAACTTTTCTGGGTTTCATACTTACCATTAGCCTTGGTTACATTTGCATGATACTAGGTTGTTAATGTAATTTTTTTAAAATTTGATAAGTTTGAATAAAATGTCCAAAATATAACTACGATTTACGCAGTAGAAAAAAATGACGTCCGTACTGTTACATTGAAATAAAGCTTAAACAATGGAGTGAAACAATTTTAACTTCTTTTACAAAATAACTTAAACATTTTGCTTCAAACCTACTGCATCATCAGCTTGTATGGTAAGCAATAAGGAAAAAAATGACCAAATATAGAGCAATTGTCTACCCTGTTATATGTCCATCCTGTTACGTGTTAATTTGTAACAGTAAAGACAATTTTTGTAACAGGAAAGACTAACATTAAATAAAATGTGGATTTTAGACCTATCTCATCATTAACCAAGAAATTTATTGCATGATTTTTATTAAAATTGAAGTAAGTAACACAAATACACCTTGAGTAAGGATTCATTGTTTCTAATTGTTAATTGAAACATAAAAAGTGATTTTGTAACAGGAAAGACATAGCATATTGTAACAGTACGGACAAATTTTGCTTAAATCTATGGAATGCCATATACGACAGCCAACTGCTGACTGCTTACTGCTAACTGTCAGCTGCTTACTGCCAACTGCCACACATATTTGAATAAATTTTATATTTGTATCGATATTTATATGAATTTTCACAAAAAAAAGGAAACAAAAGGCACGGATCCACGCAAGTGAGTTAAGGCTAAATATGGATATTTTTATGCAAATAAGCTAATGAAAAATCATAATTTGTTTATTTTATGTACAGAGAAGGTTCAAATTGATTTTCTGATACATACTCAGTACCCACAGTTTATTAATGCAAGTGCACATTATGACGTCATATTATGACGTCATTGTTCTCTCCCATTCAAGGTATTAAATCATATCAACAAAATCACGTCGGCGCAAGGGCCTATCCTATCTAATTTCAAATTAAAAATGTATAATATTCAGGAGAATATTCTTAAAATTAATAAAATTGCTGCACAAATCCTATGCACTTTCTCAATTGAAAAAAAAATTAGGAAACTTACCCTGGACAGTGATTTTTTTACCCTGTTAAAACTTAAAACTGCACAAATAGTAAGTAACCAATTGCAGTGCCGACATTTGTGCAGCAAAATCTTAAATCCTTGGAATATCCTGCGTCTTTTGATACCTTGTTTCTGTAAAACGAAGTAAGGTATGCCCTTGCGCCGAAGCGATTTTGTTGATGTTTCTTATAAACTTGTGTAGTACAGGTCGATGACGTCATTATATGACGTCATAATGTGTACTGGCTATCGCTTGTCGTGGGTACCAAGAATGTATTAGAAAACAAGTCTTAGCATTTTCTGTGCGGTAGGTAGAACAATTATGGAATTTAATTAGATATTTTGTATAGAAATTTCCATATGTAGCCTTAACTCACATGCGCAGGACATTTTTTCCAAGGGGGTCACCCTGGTAAAATTGAATTGAATAAAATGATCAATATGTTTTATCTTATGTAATATTCAATACATGTATATGCAGTTGATAAAGTACATTGTTTTTTTTTTTATTTGTTTTCCTATTTGAAATAGGTAATAAAATGACTATTTTCTGCTTTAATCTTTAAAGAAGTTGCCCCCCCCCCCCCCCCCCGGAGACAACAAAACCTTTGAAGAGAGAATAATAATATAAAAAGATTTGTCGTTTTGCAGAGAAAGATGTTTTAAAATAAATTTCCGTTTTCCATTATATTCTATAGTTAAAAATTTCCTCAAATTGAAGATGTATATCTCTTTGTGTTATAATGCAGGCACGTAGCGTCGTTTTTGAAAGTGGGGGCGGCTAACCAGAGAAAAACTTTTTTACTTACCTGAAAAAGTTGACAAGCACAAAAAAAGGAAATAGCCCAAACTCGAAAATCCTACTTCGGGGGGGGGGGGGGGGGGGTGGCTAACTTTTTTTTAAGGCCAACTATACCTTTCACTTACATTTTTTTTTCAACACAATACCACATATCCTTGATATCATTATACTACAGTAAGAAAGGGGGGCAACCAACCATTCAATAGACATTTTCAATAGTAATGGTAATGTTGGGGGAAAAAAGTGGGGGGGGGGGGGGGCAACCTGGCCCCCCTGTTGCTACGTCCCTGTAATGTTTCACATGCATAGATCGGGGGGGGGGCATTTAAAATTTGTACAGTCATACGTTATATAAACTAAACGAACTACCTGTATAACTGACCTTGGACCCTCCACTTAGAAAACGCCGATCAAACATTTATATCTCTTTGTTTGTACAAATAAAATATGTTTTACATGCATAGAGAGAGGGGTCCGGAACACCCCTCTGAAATTTGTAGTTATTTAATGCACAAACTAAACCAACTAAAAGTTATTTAATGTATAAAATAAATCAACTAAAAGGGACCTTAGAATTTTCCCCAACCGAAAATGTGGTTTCGTGTTAAGTTCGTATGAAAAATGTCATACAAATGAAGGTATGACGCATAAGAACCCCCTCTCCCCGGCCGAAATAAATTTTCACATTTAGGAAAGGACTTTACGTATTTTCTTCTTGTCAAGAAATTTCTGGGTTGGATTTTTTTTTACCAGAGTGACCCTCTTGGAAAAAATGTCCTATAGATCCGCGCCTTTTTTTAAAATTTACATAAATATCAATATAAAAATAAAATTTATTCAAATATGTGTGGCAGTTGGCAGTAAGCAGTCAGCATTTGGCAGTAAGCAGTTGGCTGTCGTATATGGCATTCCATATAAATCAGAAAAAAATGTGGACTTTTATTAATTTGTCAGATTTAATATTATTTTCATTTTATTTCTTTGTAGTAATTATTTTATTTTTTATTCTTTTTTCAACTATGAAATATTAATTTTTGATATTAAAGGACTTTTAAATATGATTCTGTAACAGGAAAGATGGGCATTGCTATTAAATAAACAATTTTTGAGAACTTTTTTTCTTATTAGCACAGTATAATATATATTCAATATATGCTTTTTTATTTATTAATTCAGTTTAACAGGAAGGACACAATAAATTATGGTTCTTAGCTATAGGCAGTATATATTTTTCCATCTCTAAAAAAAAAGTTTCACTCAGGTTAAGGGATTTGTTACTGCCCTGTTTAGGTTGGAATTTAGGCCCAATTCCTTAGGGTCATTCGTCTTGTGAGGTTAAACCCAGGGTCATGAAACCCAAACCATGGTATAATTTACAATACACCACAAAACAGTCAAAATTGTATGGTTTATCTGATTTGAACATATTTTATTGCACAAAATATATACAATGGGATTGGGCACAAGTTCTAAAAACTTAAATCGCCCTCTCCCTACATGAGATATTATAACAGGATGAATTAGAAGTGTTCAACAGTTTGTACAAAATAAATAATAAGTAAATTAACTATCTATTATTACTGATCATGGCTTTGCTACATGTAATGAGAAGATTTTTAAAGATTTTTCATAATTATTTGTACCCCCAATATAACTCTAAATTACATGTAACCAATAGATGCCAAACCCTACACCAGTGATCATGATTTGAACAAATTAGAATGTACACTAAGTATAAATGCCTTTATTTAGATTTGACTGATCGATTGATTGATTGATTGATTATATACTGTTTAACGTCCTTATCAAGGGTTTGCTGTTCCTGAAAAGAGATTTGTTGATATGTGTCTCAACTTACGCCAGTAATATTTTGATCATTCATAATGCCATACCCTACCCTAAGGGTTCATGATTTGAACAAACTTTAATCTACACTATGTCATGAAGCTTTATATTTAAATTTTATCTTTTCTGGTCTTTTTTAAATGACCTGTCAAAGAATTTCATTCTTTCTTAATTATCTATTGGAAGAGGATGTGACCCTTCATTTGAACAATTTAAATTTCCTTTTCATAAGATATTCTGTGCTAAATATAGTTAAAATGACCAAGATAAAAAAAATGTGAGAAGTTTAAGAAAACAATAACAATTAAGTTAACACCAACAAACAAAACACAAATCTCAATCAGAAAAGGTCATCTGAGCATTTGGCTCAAATACGGTAAGCTATACTAAACATCATGAGTGTTTCTTTTTTTTCTTTTTGCTTGTTTGTTTGTTTTTGTTTTGTTTTGTTGAAAATTGCCATGTGATTTATTTCCCAATCAGTGATAAAATGAAATTAAATTCCCAATTTTGATGACCTAGCTAGGACCTATTTCCAAATTGCAGTGGAAAATTCTCAAGTTAATCAAACAACTTGCCAGAAACATACACTTTTTTGAACTACCAGGTAATATTTTATGTTTCTATATTTAGAAAAACAGTGAAAAAAGAAAGTTTTCTTCTAAAGAAAGGTAAAAGAAAATTATACAGGCAAAAGGAGGATGGCTCTCTAAATCCATGTTTTTCTTTTAAATGGAGGTTAAATATTTTTTTCAGACTCTAGTGTCTTTCAGTGTCCTTCCTTTACGTTGTACACGCCAATATTTGCATAGGCAAGCAATTTTCTTAATGTAAATCCTATTTTGTTTTACCTTTTACTTGTAATTCAGCAATTATTCTATGTTATATCTAATTAACATGTAACATTGTTTTGTACTATTACAATACTGTGTATTTTGGAAAAGTCTCTCCTGTAACAGTCATACATATTCATTATTTTCATACTCTATTTGTTCCTATCTTAACTTTAACGTAAAGTTTAATCATTATTTGGGAACACCAGCATAAATTTTCAGGATTAATTAAATTATGTGTTTAACAAAATAAAGAATTTGATGTAGATACACAGAAATTTCTCTCCTGTTGCATGTTCTGTTCTTTCCTGTTACACTTTTTAACTGAGAGACCAAAAAACCTTTCAAAGTCATATTTTTTCTGGAATTGCTTTAGTTACTGTATATCTTTATAATATATTAACAGATTTCAGACTGAAACTGATTCAGTATTTACTTTCCAATCATTTCTAAACTAGAATTTAGGATTCTGTTACAGGAGAGACATGTCTATTGCAAAGTACTGTCTTTCCTGTTACGGGCCTGTCTTTCCTGTTACATGCACTATAATTATGAAAATATGTGGTTTATATGTAATTGTAACAAGATTGGATCTACATGCATGCATAAAATGCCATTTCTTATCAAATGTGTGAATGTGGTTTTTTATACTAACTTTTACGACTGTAAAATGGTGAAAATATTGACCAAAATGATGTTCAGATTTGAAAATTGTCTCTAAAATCATTGAAAAAATTATTTTGCTCCTGTTTCATTAAAAAATTATAACTGATTTTTTATTTGCCATGCTTTCACAAACTAGGCTTAACTAATTTTATAATTATTTTTCCACCTCTTAATAGTAAAACTTGCATTATTGTGTCTGCAACAGGAAGGACAAAATTTTAGGTGAACCAGTATTTTGATTTCTTCTTACTCTGAAATCAAATAATTTCCAGGTGGGAGTTTAGTGTTTTTGTGTTCTTCAGATATGTGTTTTATAGTAACGATAAAAAAAAAATTAATTCTAAATGCAAGAAATTTGTTGATTTTTCCAATATTTTTTTCTGCGGTTTTTGATAATGACTCTAAAACGGATAACTCTTGGTATTTTTTATTTTCTTTTTTCTTAATAATCCCGAATTATGAATGTATATTTTTTGACAAATACATGTACATTTCAACTCAAAAGAATAGGTCTAAAGAATCCTTTTTGGCGATATGGTTCGCCAAACCAATTTTTTTTTATCTTGGGGAATAAGCCCTATTGACTTCTTTTTTTGCAACCATTTCGTTTTTTTTAAGGACTTAAAAATTTCCACATATTTTTGTTAGTTTCGAAGAAGCAGGGGAATAAAAAAAAGATTATTTGTCGAATGTATGACTTCTGAGAGAAGTAAAGTTTTGAAGGCCTTTTGACTTGCGCCGAAAAACCGAGGTGCACTGTATATGAGGAGCGCAGGAACATTATCAAAGGAGTCATCTGTTGCACGAAAACTTATGAAAACAAGTGACATGAGATGATAAACAACACACAGACATCTACAACACATGTACTTTTGGACAGGACTATGTACTACACCCCCCCCTTCAATATCTAACGAGAATGTTGGACATTTCTTCACAGGTTACATTTGTTTATATATTTCACATATTTTTCATTCCCTAGGATAAATGAGAAAAAATGCAAAATGAACGTTTCATACAGTCAAAATTTTAATTTTTATTTGTGGGCAATTTTTGTATAGAACGATTATTTTGCATTTTTTCTCGAATTATCCTATTGTGTGTACACGATTTTCTTTTCAGATTAATGTAACAAAACTCGAGATCTTCATGCAGTTATTGCATTGGCGGTTCCGGTGTAATACCCCCCCCCCATTTTTGGAGAGGGGTTTTTGTCTTCTTTAATATAGGTATTTTAACGTCTAATATTTTGAATAAGATAAGTAGTTTAATCTATGCTCTTCCTCCTCGCTAGATAGAGATTCCTCAGTCTGTGTACCTATTCAACCATTGGTCACACCCTCCCCTCTGTGTACCTATACAACCCTGGGCCCCACCCACCCCTCTGTGTACCTATACAACCCTGGATGGGTTTACCTATACAACCCTGGGCTCTACCCACCCACCCATTTTCATTTTCATATCATTGGAAGATTCCAGTAAACTTTTTTGCTTGTCAACTCTTTTTGGAAGCTGTCCCCTTTGAAAACAGTTGCTACGGACTTGAAGTGCCTGTGGTGTGATTCTGTGCGTGAGTTTTGGGGGCACCGACCTGGAACACCCCACCCCTTTTTCAAACTCCCTGGACCCGCCTAATTATTGGACGACTTAATGCATGTAACATGGAAAAGATACACATGTCTCTAAGTAAGTAAGTAAGTAAGTAAGTAAGTAAATTTTATTTAAAGTCGGCATTGTAAACATTGCATAACAAGAAACATGAGCTCCGACTATCACAGTTAAAATATCACAAGACAACATTTACAACATAAATTAACATGCAAAAACACATGTACATAATTATATACACATATAAATATGGCAGATAAAACGAATTTTTAAAACAAATTTTAAGAATTAAGAATTTTTTTTAGAATTAGTTTAAGGGAAAAAAAGACAAACTTGAAAAGCAATATGATTGCATTAAGAGGAACAAAAATAAAAATAATGTGAATATTATAGAATAAATAAATAAAAGTCATATGACAGTTATATAAATTAAGCACTACGTTTAACCCATAAAGTCAGATTAAAAATAACTAATTGTCTTATTAATAATAATAAAAAAATAATTAAATAAATTTGAAAGTTTAGAAAATTAAATATTCACACAGATATAGCTAAACCAAATTGAGAAAGAAGAAAAAATAATAATTTATGTTTCTCATCAATACACATCCTGCCTAGTGATTGGGTCAGTCCCTACCTACATAGGTAAAATATGCATTGTAGTGTGTGTAATGAGAAAAAAATGTTCAAGAGGCCAAAAATGGAAAGAAAATAGGATCCTGGAGAGATCACACCTTTGCCATCATATGATGTTACTCCAAAGGTTTCTGTCCCCAGAGCCCTTATTATAGGAACTTTTAAAGTAAATAACAAGGTTTAAGTTATAGATATAAAAGAAACATATCTGAACATTTGATAAAAAAGGCTAGAATTTATGTTTACTGAAAACTGATTGTTAAATTTTTTAAAAGATATATTTGAATCTCATTTTAATAAAAAAAATCTAATTCATGATTCAGTAGTAACTTTAAAATACCCTTAACCCAGTCAACTTCGAATGTTTTCTGGAACGAACTATACCCATGTTTACCTGTGTGACGTCACGTTATACCTGGGTGAATCGCAGGGTGCATTCTGACAGTTCAAGACAAGTGTCCGAGAGAAGTGGAGCGATTGCAATGTTTTCATGTTTATAGCTGGATGTTTTTTGTAAAGATTCTGATGGATTAATTAATTGAAAGTTATTCTGTGGAAAAGCAGACAACATGCCGGACGAATCGTATGTATCGGACGACATTTTATTTAATTAGCAACTAAATATTTGTCAGAAAATAACCATTCTCTTTCTGGTTGCAGATGTTCAATACCGGTATATAATTAGCAAATCAGTCAAAGAGAATATGTTTTCTATGTAAAAAAAAAGGGGGGCTGTACGTGAGAATAACATATTTGGTAGAAACAAATAACATGTGAGAACTTAATCTGTACCAAAATGAAATATAATGTTCACATAATTGCTTAAAAATTCTTTCATTGCAGTCAAAATATATAGAATTAGGATAATTTAACTAATGCAATCAGACAATTAAATGTTCCCAGACCTTTAAATAGTATTGTTCATTAATTTTCTTTTTGAATCCAAATCTGACATGTACATAAAGCATAAAGGATTCAATTAACAACGATTTATTAGAAATTTAAAATATAAAGTAGCAAAAAAGTTTTAATTTTTGTCTTGTTTTACTTAGTAATTAAAAGAAAACATTAATATAATAAATTAGCTTTGATCAATAAAGAATAAAGAGTGTCAGATAAATATATGATATAGTATGGATCTGTTCACATATATACATATAAAGAAATAATTTATAAAGCAAATGAAACAATATGATAAATGAATGTTGAATTGTTCTTCTTTTTTGCAGGGTAAAAGTAGCTGTCAGGGTCCGTCCCTTTAATCAAAGGTAACAAAATGTTTGAAACTTATATATGCATAAAACAACTTTGACTTGTTCACTAGCATTTTTTAAGTTTGGAAAAGGCAAATTTATATATGGAAAGAAACAGGTATTATACATTGAATATCAATTTAGTATAAAAAGAAAATGATAATTGCAGAATAGTGTTATCCAACATTATAATTTGGGAGCAATTTAAGTATATATTCAAGTTAATATGACTGACTACCTTTTACAGTACCTTGCACAGGCACCTGGTACCTTGTAATAAAGTATTGTGCAAAAAAAACATTTTTAAATACACGTGTAGATGCAACTAAATGATTGAAATTTAGTACTCTACTTTTCATATATTTAGAAAAAAAAAAAACATTGTTTTTCTCTATGTTGGTAAAATATTTATAAAATTCTTGTTTTAGGGAAAAGGACAGACAGGCCAAACTCATCATTAAGATGCAGGGTCAGATGACCACTATCACAAATCCAGAAACTCCAAGTAAGTTTGTCTGGGTGTCTGTATGTGCTATAGGGCCAAAATCACTAGCTTTATTTTCACTTTATGGAAAGGAGGGAATTGGAAAAAAATCTCGGAATTAAGGTTTAATTGTCTTTCACACCCAGACTCTCCATATCCCCTAGCCAAAATTAAATCAAAACATTTTTGGTATATTGTGAAAACATCTGGCAAAAATATTTAGCAGCATTGTTTTGAACATATAAATAATAATTTGTTTCATAAACAATATTTTGAAGATTTTTTTCTGAAGGGAAGATGAGAGTCTTGTGATTCTACCCAAGGAACCTCTCCCTTGGATGCCCTTGGTGTATTCCTAAGGAATCCTTAATTCAGTTTAGAGTTTGTATGGACCAGGTTAATTATACTGTCAACAAAAATGTCTTTGGACTGAAATGATGCCCTATTACATATAGATAATCAATAACTTGTTTGAGCCTTAGGAAGAATGACTGCTAAAATTTATTAAATGCAGGATAATACTACAAAAAATATGAAACAATTTTGCATTAATTACATTGTACTATTGCGCATGTGGCGCAGTGGTCACTAGAGCATCTGTGAGTCTTAGAGTCCCGAAGTTCAAGGAGTTGATCCTCACGTCACGGGTTTGAATCCCACTGTGGGGCATGGAGACTATAGTCCTTGGGATGAGACTGGGGAAACCAAGGTCCCACATGGCAATAGGTGCTGGCACAAAAAAATCCCTCACTACTCAATGGCCCTGAGTGCAGAGTATAGGTTAAAATGCAGCTCTCCATCTGCAACTGGTGGCATCTCAATATGAGTAAAAATGTCTCAAGATCAAGGAATATTAAACAACAAACAAACAAAAACATTAATTACCTGTCCATAACAGTATAATATGGTATCTATAACTAGTGAGAATCACGTTCAATTTAACTGTAAGATTGTATTTACTTTCATGTTAACTGTATATAACTGTGTTCTGAATTTAAGTATAGAGAAAAAAAATCATGGAGAAGCAAACTCAAGCAGAAAAATCATTTTTAAAGTCAAGTGGTTTTTTTTATGCAAGAAATATCTAGAACATATTTCAAGGCTCATGGATACATTTAATAATATATGAAGATACGCAGAAAGAAATCCCATGGGGATATAATTTATCACTAGTGTATCTAACTCACTTTCATTTACAGATATGATAGGGAATCCCCTGTCATCCCCACATGATTTGAAATCAAAATCTTTGTCATTATATGTCTCATGATTTTAAATTAAAATCTTTGTCATTATATGTCTTATTATCAAAAGGGGGTAGACCACCTTAATATGGAGCAAGTAATGAATATCGTCTTTTTCATGATTAGCAATTGATTGCATTCTACCTGCAGCATGTTTTTTTTTTTAAATTAGCTAGCTTGATTCATTATCCTATATGTCACTAATTACATCATCTTGCTGCAAGGGTGGAATTATTTTTCCAGTGACTTGTTTTGGCAAGCTTTATGTCTTTGATCATGGATAATTGTGTCCATTTAAAGGGGGGTTGGGGATGGAAATAGCCGGGTCTAGATTAATTTATGATTGATTCTGACAGATTGTAAAATGGTTTAAGGGTGAGAAAGTCAAGGGAATTTCAACAGCATCTTTAATGTCTCAAAGCATCCTTATAAATGGGGGTATCGAATAATTTAGCTATTGATGAATTACAGGCTGATCATTTACACAGGGACCTAAAGAGGAAAGCCAATATTTTAGATAAACAAAGCTTGTGCGGCCTTAGAAGTGTGTTCAGTTAACTTTCTCCTACGCTGATCCTTGGCGTAAACTTTATGGTCATATGTTTGCACAAATATGTAATTTGAAAGTCAAGGAGAAATTTTTCAACCACTCCAGCCTTAAGTAACTAGCTTTAAAATCTCGATTTTGGGATAGAGATATGAAATCAATTTCGATAACGTTGGAACATGTTTTTAATGGTTTAATAAACGTACCCAATACACTAATATCAGTATCCATACTGATTCTTGTCAGTTGAATAAACACAATACATAAAAGCGCCATATAACTCAAGAACTGAATTAAATATACATTAACAGAGTCTAGGAAGTATTTGTTTTTCATAGATACCATATCGAACAGCTGAGACACAGTTAAATATATTGATCATCTCACTTGAACATAATAATTTCATAATGCACATTCAGTGTACAAAGATCAGGCCTTATTGTATTACTTAATCAATGGTTCGATTTTTCAAAGTTTTGCGTGATCTGGACTGAAAGGGTATTTTATGGTCTGACTGATTATATAATGAGAATGCCCACATCTTAATTGATTGATCTGTACATTGATTGAAACGTACATGACTACAAGAAATATAAATAAACAATTATGTATGAAGATTATTGAGATATTGAGAGGGGGGGGGGTAATTGTTTATTTTGTTGTTTAATGTCCCTCTCAAGAATTTTTCACTTGCTGGTGGAGAGATGCAAATTTTGACCTTTACTCGGCACTTTGACAGGGCCATTAATCAGTGAGGGATCTTATTATTGTGCCTGAGCGGCTACTGCGACATGGGACCTGGGTTTATATGATCTCACTCCGCAGGACTGGTCTCCATGTCCCACAGTGGGATTCAAACTTGAGTAACATGAGGACAAACTCCTTAATTCGTAACTCTTACCACTGTGCCATGTGGGTGAGTGGGAGGGCATTTGCAAATGAAAAATTTTCTAGATATATGTACCAATATACAAAGTTGTCCAACTTTGGTATCTCAGTTATTGATATTTGGAATACCTTGGATATGTCAATGAGTTGAAAGGCCTGGGTGCTCTCTATATACTCTTGAATCCTCTAATATTTTTTTCTGGTCATATGGGTTTCAAGATGACAAGGTTTCACTGTATACTGGGAATTATTAATTTAAGTTTCCAATGGCATGCAGTCATATTTTTTTTCATTTCATGACCAGTATTATATAATTGATGGAAAATCTATTATTTAATGGTTAAATAAATATATATAAACCAAAATAATAATAATTATTAAGAACATACGCAAGGTACCTTACCTGCTTAAAATTTTTCAAGATATTCTTAATTTAAGATTTTAGTGCCATCAGATGTTCATAGAAAAAAAATCAGCATGCATTACAAGGGGTTTTTGGAAGATATCAAATTATGAAAATTTTTGCATTATTCAAAGAAAAATATACAAAAATTACAAAACATAAATTCCAGATTTTTTTCCATCAAAATTTGTTTTAGAAGAGGTGTACAAATCCAATATGTAGACATTGAAAGTGATGCACACAGGTTCTTCTTTTAGGGAACTCTTCAACTCCAGTGAAGATCGAGCCCCAAAAAGTTCAAACTATGTTGCGTATGACCTTAAATAAAAAAAAATCAGTGTGTTATAGAAAAAATGACTTTTGACATTGCATGGAGGTAATGCATAGTAAACATTCCAACTCATGGAGACACTTTCACCTGCTTTCAGTTTGGGTGTTCTTGATAATGGAATGTCATAAAACCTCATAAATATCATGTACGATTGAACGTTAAGTTGAGGATTAGGGAATATAAAGAGTTCCAATTCACAACATTGGCAAGGTCGACATGTGATATATTCTGACCCATATAAATTGATAATATTAAAAAGATTCTTTGCCTTTTATCTATGAAAAAACATGAAATGATTTTTTATGCATTTGCTTTAATACTTCATAATAAATACAAAATAAGTAATTAATATTGATGATTTTTTTTTAATTCACAGATGAAGAACCTAAAAGTTTTTCCTTTGATTTCTCATACTGGTAAGATATATAAATTCTGTGTATTTGCAGTTCTTAATTTTACACCTGTCGTCAAAAGTTTATTACACAATGTACTGAATATTGTCGCATGTGTATGATACTTAAAAAAATTGAAACCTGACTGCACTCAGGGTTTAGTAAATTTCAACCATTAAAGTTCATTTACACCTTGAAAAGACCCTTTACTATGCATGTCAAATTAGCACACTAAAAGTAAATTAGGCCGTATTTATAATTCAGTACTGCACAATTTTTAATCTGGAGATTTAAGTATATTATGCATTATATAAGCAGATAGACAGATCTACATCAGTACATTTGAATGGGGGGTTAATTGCAAAGACTGGTTTAGGTTCAAGAACACCAATATTTTTAAAAGAAATTATGGTGACATTGTTCCATTTAAATTTTATAGGTAAGCACAGTAATGAAAAATACAATTGAACAGTTCACTGATTATGCTAATGGAAAAAAAAGATTAAATCCCATAGTTTTGCTCCACCACAACAAAAAATTAGGCCAAATTAGCTATTGAAAATGAAATAGTGTGGGTTGAACAATTGTCAATTTCAAGCAAATGAATTCTTGATGGGGGGGGGGACTCATATTAAAAAATTGAAGCTCAAGATTTTATATTCAAATTAAAGCAGAAATTTATTTTCTTCATATAAATTACATTTGAAACATTCACTGACAGGTTTAAAATTCACAAATTTATGTTGTCAAAGTTCTTGACTAGTATATGTGCATGTTATATCACATATATATAAAAATTCTGTATATATATATAAAGCTGAAATTTTAATTGTAAGAATTGGTCATACGTTCTTATGAACAAATTGTGATTTCCTGCATTTTCTATTTCTGCTATTTATCTATGTTGTAGGTCACATGATGGTTTCCAAGAGCAGAGCGATGGCGTATTAGTTCCTGCGGGCGGGAGTAATTATGCCAGTCAGAGAAGGGTGTTTGAAAATCTGGGACAAGGCGTTCTGGATAATGCCTTTGAAGGTTAATTTTAATTTGGGCTCCTTTTGCTTCAAACTCCATGCAAGGGATCAAAGAGTCTCAAAACACATCCATGACACATTGAAATCTTGAGAGAGCAACTTGTTATTAAATTTAAAGAGAATTAAGTTTGCAACAAGGGCACCTCAAAGCCTCGCAATAATCATATATCTATAAATCAAGACCACATTCAACATCAAAACCAGCAGCATATTATGTCACTTCTGTTTCACACAAGGACAAACAAACACACACATTCACCAGTCCAAGCCTGTTGCGAGGGGATATATATATCCTTAAGTATGACACTCAAACCAATTTTCACATAGCTAACAAGAATGTTAAAAAATATTAAATAACATTACAAATTTGATCAAGAAACAATTTTTTTCCATTTTCTAAATGGAAGGCAGAAATTATAAACATTGAATTGTCCCTTTATCTCAATATTCAGATTTGCGAGTGCAATTAAATGGTGCTATTAAATGTAATTCCATTGATGATAAACAGTTCCATTAAAGGACACATTAAGACCATTCATGAGGAAATAAAGGCAATTTAGAATAATTAAAGTATCCTTCATCGTAGATTACCAAATAATTAAATTATGATGGAGAAAACTGCATTCGGAAGATAGCATTTTCTTCACAATTAAACTGACATTTTTTGTCTGCATCATGGTTGTCCATGAAGCATTTTATTACATTGATAGCTCAGCTAAGCTAGAAACTCTAAAGAAATTTCCCAATCAAAGAGTGTCTGTCTCTTTCTTTACAAAAAAAACTTTTCACAATTTGACTTTTCTGTAGAACTACTGCATGTGCAGACTTATTTTAACCAAACTTGGCATAAATCATATTCAGATAATTTAAAAAGAGAATTTTCATTTAATTAAATGACGTTTTCCCCATAGGATAATTAACAAATTGTTGAAATCATAGACTGTTAAGTCCAAGTGGACTTTACAATGACTGAGGTGAGCACTGTGGCCCATAGGCCTCTTTTTTAATTTTGTTTACTTAATGAACTTCCTCTTACCATGTCTTACAATCAATAATTGTGCAAATAAAAAGAATAATTAATTGGATATTGACATTCAGAAACTGTTAAGTGGGTTGATACACAATTCCTATACCATTTTTATTTTTAGCTGTTAAAGTCAACTCCGTGGTTGTTGATAATGTAAGCTTTTATGGACCTTCATAAGTAGGCATAAGTTTTTTGAGAGCAAATATTAAACATTTTGTGAACAATTTCAGGTCATAAATAAGTCTCATGTGGAAAAAAATAAGAGCATTAATTATAAGCACATGTGTATCAAAAACTGTGCAATTCACTTCTAAGATTGATTACTATAGATCACAAAATTTTCATGAATTGTGGTCATTGCTCCATATAATCGTAAGGAATTCTATTATACGCGAGAATGAAATTTTCGCGAGCATAACATCTCGCTTAATGACGCCAAATTAAAGTTCTCGTGAATAAAAAGTGATTTACAGTACATAAATAAGCCCATGCAAATTGGACAAAGGTTACATTTGATTGAATTATGTCAGTTAATTATCATTAATTTCTATATATTTTTTCCAAACTACTTTTCAGATTATATAAGAGACTGGCATTTGACTCTTAATAATTATTTTAGCATAAAATATTGTTGCAGGCATACAATGTTAAAAGCCCCAATGAAATCATTCATGTAGAGGTGCTTTTTTTTTATATTTTGCTACAGAACATACAATACCAGACAAATATAATCAGAGAAATCTGAAAAATTTTCTATAAAAGCCATGGATTGAACAGATTTTGTGATTTCCCAGAATTGTAACCCAGCATGCAGGAAAATTACTTTTACAATACTTTTTAATTGATTCAAACCCATAAAGATCATATGACATCTCTAGAATAACTGAAAATGAAAAATGAGACAATTCTGATTTCTTTATATCCTTATTCAGACCCTAAGCAGGGCCTAAATGAAACATTGTATTTGTTTTTGTGAAATCAATGAGAGCCTTATCAAGGCATTCAAGTGAAACATTCACTTTCGGGTTTCAAGAGAAATCAATTTTATTCCATTTATTTTAGGACAATGAACATGTCATCATCAAAGTTTCAAAATTCATTTTTATATTGTCTCGTAAAAATCAATAGGGAAGTCTGGAACAAAACCCATTCTATAATGTTTATCTAATATTATCTTTTTATAGTGCAAAGAGAGAAACGCTCTAGCTAGGGTACACTGCATAGTCACTTTTTAAAAAAAATAAAATTCCATGCAGGTTTTAAATATTCACTAGCCATGCGTATATACCCGGTAGCTTTTATATTTATGTGTATAAGATTACAATCAGTAGAGAAATATGGAAAATAATTATTGGATATATTTGGATTTAAGGGAGTCTATAGCTATAATTTATAATTACCGTAGTGTAGAAGAAACAGATGAACATCACCACTGATTTTAAGCTTGATATGTATTTGAAATTATGACTTTTAAAAAAAAAGTGTGACTTGTTAGCATTAGATGCTGAATAAATAAGATATATATGTACACTCACGTAACAAAAATCAGTTTTATATATGGAAGCATTAAGGAAAAAAGTGCAGAAAACCAAGTAGGGCAGACTGGCAGACAGAGGGACACCTGGACAGACAGCTAGTCGGACGGACAGACTCAAAGGAAACCTAATGTCCCCTCCAGTTTCATTGGTAGGGTACTAATAAATTATCTCACCAGAGATTATTTATACATTAGAAAATAGGAAGGGACCAGGGGAAGAGGGGGAGGGGGCTTGAATGTACAGCTGATCAAGTCAGAATATATAGAAAAAGTTAAGGGAAAAAATGTAAAATGTCACCATGCAAGCACAATAATCTACCCAACTCAAACCTAAAGCTAGTATTGCTGATAAGGCACAAAACATTACACATTACTAACATTGCATTTATAAAAACTCAGGTGACAATTTTTATTCCTTCAGTTCCTTGTTCCTTCTGACACCTTACATAGATTAAATATTTTATTTCACAGGTAACTGTACCTGGAGTATATTTCTGTGTGTGGGCTTTGTGCTTTTTATGAATGTCTCCAGCTAAAATTTATATACCTGCAATATTATTTACCATTGATAAGTTTACTGAACTTAAAACCAACATAGGAAATGGCTTACCCCTAATAAAAATTCCCCTCATTATATCTTATTTATTGAGGGTAATAAACAGATTAAAGATTTAATGTAAATCAGTAGAGAGTATTTAGTCTAAGAGTGAAATTATCATTTTTCTGATTTTAATGTACATAAAGTGTATTCCCTGCAAGAAAACTAAAAATTAAATGATAGTTCACATCTTTCAACACCTTGTGTAAGGAATGTAAACATTTGAGTTTGAATGTAAGTGGGGAAGGGGTGGGGATGGGAAGGCACCATCCTGGAATTTATTCTTTCAAAATTGCTGGATGCATGCACGTCTGTAAAAGTTTCTTTTTTAATTAATTTGATTTTAATTACTTTCATGAGTTATTAAGTGATGAGTCTAATTCGTATTGCACATGTTGACAATCTCTTTTCCAATTTTTTGATTTAAAATTGTCCTGCAAAGTAATGTTCATTTGCCCAATGGATGAACTTTTATAAAATTATTTCAGAATGATATATATCCTTGTGAAAGAATTATTTAACTTAATTGTCACTTGCAAAAAAAAAAATGTTTGTTTATTATATGTTAAGACATCAAGAGGCCAATTATATGATGCATGAGTCCTTATATATGCAGTTTTATGGTCCAAATTTTAACCTGCTCAGTAATTTTTGACCCAGTCATAGTGTATGCATAATTTTTTTTTACAAATTGGATCCCTTAAAATTGATATTCAGAGGCTGACTGAAGATAACTGGCTTTTGTAACATGAATTGCTTCAAACCTAAATTTTAACTACTTCCTGAAATTTAGTCTGAGAGATATAGTAATTAAACTCTGTTAATGAAAAGTTCTAATTGATTGTTTTCCATGTCTTCAATATAATTTTCTATACCTACATAGCGACCAATAAAATTCCAGGAAGTAGGGTACCATATATTTTCAAGTGCACATAAATATTGTATAAACTCTGTGTATTTTACTTGGTTATCTAGCTTACACTATCGGTAAACATTACGTAGAGACCATTAAACATGGATATTTATGTAATCTCCATGCAATCAGGATTTGATATGCATGGTCTATTGTTCTCCATTTCCAAGGACCTACTCACATAATTGATTGGTTTGTGCAGAATCTCAGTTCGAGTGCATGAGGAATATAAAGATTATAGACAATTTATTTGAATAGTATGAGAAAGTTGTTCACTAACCAATAATCTTTTAAGTTTATGTATTCATTCTTAACGTAATCTGAAATAAGTGTAAACAGAGATTGAATTTGGTTGAGATGTGTGTACATGTACTTTTACTCGGTGTCAACAGAGGTAAACATTGACATTCAACCTTGCACAGTCTTATGGGTCTCTCAAATTTCAGTTTTATGTCATCTCTACATTGTAAGTTAAACTAGCTATTTTAAGGTCATTCAAAATTTGAAGCAAACTGATGTGTTCACTTCAACACAATACAGCAAAACTCGGTTATAACGAAGTCACTGGGACCTATGAAATTACTTCGCTATATCCGTAATTCGTTATAACCGTATAAGAAATTCATTAAATTTATATTGCTTGGGATTCAAAATGACTTCGCTATATCTGTGAATTCGCAATATCCGTGTTTGCACTAAACGAGTTTTACTTTATACACTAAGACTTTGTTTTTTGGAAGTTTACCCCCCCCCCCCAAAAAAAAAACAAACCAAACAAACAAACAAAAAAACAAAACAAAACAAAACAATATATCCAAAACAATTAGACTGAAAATATTGAGATTAAAATATATACTTGATGAAAAAGGAGTTGGGACACCAACTCACTTTGTGATATCCATGACATTCGAGACTTCAATGGTCAAGATGGAGAGGTTCAACTGTCAATAAATATATTAAGCCAATGTCTAAGGCATGGCAGCTATACTTATAGATGGGAGAAGCTGGGACTCTCCCTTCACCAGGTACACTTCTGTTGAGATCTATTGATTGATTGGTCCTTTTCAAATATTCTGCCTAGCATTAGAATGGAATCCACTTCTGTCCAGATCAATATTTCATGAGGTATATATGCATGGCAAGGTGATTTCAAAACTGTAGCAACTTCTTTTACGTACATTGCTAGCTAGATGGGGTCTTGTGAAGCATTAAAATGAACCTTCCAGTACAGGAGAATCAATATCTAATTTGAATAAAGTTTAAAATAAAATCAATATTTGAAATTCAAGACTTTTAATTTTTGTGTATGAAAAATTGTTAGTTACGTTATTCCATTTGTTTGAATAAATTTGCATGTCTTAATTATGAGTTCCATTATATATGGCATAATAGGTTCTCACATAAAAAAAGCCTTGAAGTCAGAAGTTCAACATAATTATCCAAAACCAAAAAAAAAATCATATCCATAACCACGATACATGCATAAGTATGTATACATGCACATCACGTGAAAATTGCTGTACTCTATTTTTAAAACTATTTAGAAGTCTATTAATTTGGCCCACAAAAACTTCAGTATATCTGTGAATTCATGGATACAGGGAAGTTATCTTGGATACCCAGCATTATAAATTTAACAAATTCCTATATATGTGATGTATATTTTGAAGTCATACGGATATAGAATAATTTCATGTAAGGTCAATTCATTCTAAGTGTGTTCCCTTATAACCGATTTTAATTACCGGTATGTTTTTTTTTTATTAAGGCTATAACTAATTTTTGCCTATGGACAGACAGTATATCTGGAAAATCCTACCATGTGGCCTATGGAAAACACACTGATATTGAAGTACATTTATAGACAATTTTAAAAAGGGGAATTCAAATAAAAATACAACATTAACACAAATTTATTTCTGTGCATGCTCTTTATCAATAAAAATTGTTTTTAGTCACTTCACTGTAAAGTGTGTTAATTCATTTTAATTGTGTTCACTTGAAAATGATTTTCATGTCCGTCTTCTGTCCTTCCATGTTTTACTGTGTATGGTTTTTTTTTATTACAGGATATAACTGTTCCTTGTTTGCCTATGGACAGACAGGATCTGGAAAATCCTACTCCATGGTGGGATATGGAAATAACAAGTCAGTACATTTATAGACAATTTTAAAAGGGAAATTCAAATCAAATTATATATTAAAACCAATTTATTTATGTATCTTTACCAGTAAAAATTGTGTTTAAAAACCCATTCTGCCCGAAAAAGTATGTAAATCATAGATTGCCAACAGACAAACTAAGTACTAGAAAGTTTTCTTGAAAAGCTTAATAATTGCAGATACGTTAGAATTCCTGGTAGGTTATATTGAAATTTATACAGTCAAACCTTGTTATCTCAAACTCAATGGGACCATGAAAAATGTATGATTGTGTTTGCACTGCTTTTCTATGAAAATCTGATGTTTTTTAATTTTTTAAAGGGGAATTGTACCAATTACCTGTGATGAAATGTTTAAAACCATGGACAAAAATACAGACCCAAATAAGGTGTGTACAATTTCTGTTAAAGCCTTCTATTATTTGACTGTATATTGCATGGACTATAATTATTGATGCTAATTGATATACAAAATACTTCAACAATTATTTGCCATGTTGAAATTTATAAATGAATTACATGTATGTAACAATTAGATTTTTGTTAATCAGTTGTTAATTTGAATTGATTTTCAAATTTAACTCGGTTTCAAAATTTTCATACTTTTACAAATATGACCATTCTTTTTCAGAGGTTTGAAGTGACATTTTCTATGTTAGAAATTTACAATGAACAAGTGAGAGATTTATTATCTAAAGACAATCCTAAGGGTGGACTTAATGTGAGACAGAACCCCAAACTGGGGTACTTCTACGTGGAAAATCTCAAACGAGTCCCTGTGGGGAGTTATGCTGAAATTGAGAAGAGAACGGACCAGGGTGAGTGTAATAGAAGTAGACAGAGTACTAAATTGTCTGAATTATTGTAAAATTTTAATTTTAGGTTTGTGACTTCTGTCTTATTTAAAAATAATTGTTCATTTTTGAATCTCCTAAAAGTATTGGCAAAATTTATTTTGCATACATGTATTAGTTTACCCGAAAAAAAGGACAAAGTAATCATTATGTAACAACCTCCCAAGTAAATGAAGATATGAATTTATAGAATCCCCATTTAATTAACAGAATTAAATTATTTTCAAATGAGAGTTTTAGAACTGCAAAAACAGTCTTTCAAGATCAAATCAGTACTAGTATTTTGAATTCAGTTAAAGTAACATATTTACATAAATTTTCAGGAACGGCCAGCAGAACGGTGGCATCCACTAACATGAACGCCACCAGTAGTAGAGCTCACACTGTAGTCACCATAACGTTTGATCAAATCATAAAGAATGAGAGCGGATCAGAGACCAAGAAAAGTAGTGTCATGAATCTGGTGGATCTAGCAGGTAAGGGAGATTACTAGTACTAATTCAAAGAGTACTAAAATTTCAAAAAGAAGAGATGCACTTAATTCATCAGCCTTTTTGAGAGGATGTTTTTAATTATTTTTTTTCTTCACAATTCAAAGTTTTTTTTATTCAAATTTCAAAGTAGGGAAATTACTAAATTAAATGACACTTGGTGACATCATTTATCATCACTGAAATGGAAAAAAATATGAAAGCTATGAATATTAGAAACTGGGTTTGTCTCAGAGATTTTTCACATTATGCTGTACTTATGTGAAAAAAAATGTGTTTGTTTATGACAGGTTCCGAGAGAGCGGACAGTACAGGGGCCACTGGTGACCGTCTGAAGGAGGGAGCTAACATTAACAAATCCCTGTCTGCCCTGGGGAATGTCATCTCAGTAAGGGAGAACCTTAAATGTCATAAGACAACATTAAATTAATGAAAAATAACTCTTGAGAATGTATTTTTGAAATATCTAATTTTCTAATTTGAAAATGCTTGAGTTTGGAGAAAAAATGTGAAATATGACCCCCCCCCCCAAAAAATGCACTTTCATTATGCAAACAGTAACTTAATTTGCAGATGTTGATTGGAGGGTTTCTCAAGTTTTATTGTCACTGAGTTGTTAATGTTTATTTGTGTGGGGATTCTAAAAGAAATAATAGTTACTTATAAATATTTTGTTGTTGTTTAGGCTCTTGCTGATTTGTCAATGGGAACAAAGAAGAAAATCATGGTTCCATACAGAGACTCCGTACTGACCAAACTTCTACAGAATGCATTGGGAGGCAACAGGTATAATGAAGACTCTTGGTAATACTTTGGCAATATTTCTGTATAAAACTATGACCATATACTGTGGTTTTGTGAGAGGAAAAATTAATATATGTTTAAAATCTTTACCATTACAGTAAAACAATCATGATTGCTGCCCTATCCCCAGCTGATATTAACTATGATGAGACATTGTCCACTTTGAGATATGCAGATAGAGCAAAGAAAATCAAAAACAAAGCCGTAGTCAATGAGAATCCATTGGATAAACTTATTAGGGAGCTTAAGGTATGCTGAAAATATGATGAACAAATTCATACAGTGCTTTTGCTTGGTAAATGTCCATTTAAGATTATTAATCAGAAGCTTTAATTTCTAATCCTTTTTTGCATTGTAGGAAGAAAATGAGAAATTGAAGAGAGCCATGGAGGGTGGAGGAATGGTGATGCAGGAGGGGGCGGGTCTCTCTCCTGAGGGTGAGTCCTCTCTCCATTTACATGAGCCTAAATTTTCATAGAGTCATTTAACCCAAGGGGCTATACTTTGTTAAGACTCTCTCTGTGTTCAAAAATTTACATTACAGGAATAATTTTTTGGTAGTTTATTAGATCAAAACTTGGATTTGAATTTATCAAACTTGGAATAATTTTATTGGTAAATTTAATGGATCAAAACTTTAAGAATTAATTGTTACCCTTGGTATAATTTTTCAGAGCTTGAGAAGATGCGTAAGCAGATGGAGGAGGACATCCGAGCTCAGCTGATGGCCAACCAGGCAATGCTGAAAGAGAACGAGGAGAGCTGGGACGATAAGGTCTGTAAAACAAATACAGTCAAACCTTTTTATCTTGAATTTGCTGGGTCTGAGAAAATAGTAGGGTAGAAATCTGAAGGTTCAGGATATCCAGGGTAAAACACAATAATACATGAAAAGAACTTCAAAATCCATGCTATACTATTCAGGAGACCCTTGATTGATTGATCATATATCATGAGCTATCAAAGTTCTACATTATAAGCAGTTACAGTAGCACAGGGACTTAGAAACACACTGTTATTGGCTGAAACACCAATTTTTACCAATTGTGAGACTAGGTTATGATTATTTGAGCTATAAACTGAGCCCCAGTTTTAATTTTTAATTCAGCTAGCTGAGGCCAGGACAGAAACAGAGAAGATTGACACTGGAGGAGCAGACAATCAGAGAAAAAGTAAAGAACCCTATCTGATCAATTTGAATGAGGACCCCATGTTGTCTGGGGTCATCTGTCACTTCCTGAAGAACAGCGGAGAAACAACAGTAGGAAGGAAGGATGCTAGTCCTGTACCAGACATATGTCTCAGTGGTCTGAGGTTAGTGCAATTATTTCATCTATTTCAGAGATTCTCAAAATTGAGATTTTTGAATATATGAGCAGTCTCATATAGAGTAGATTCAAATATTTTTTAAATCAAGTCCCTCACGGCTAATGATCCTTGGGCACAAGAGGGGTTCAATTTTTTGCACAAAAATGTAAAGAATGTCAGAACATTTAAATGTACAAATTTTAAATTGGGCTTTCAGCCTCAGTACTGTAAATTGAAAATGTTAAAGTTATGAATTTTAGTAGGTGACTTGATCAAATCAGCAATTTGATATAAAGGTCTCTTGTTTTAAGGTTTGTTTTTAATATTCCTAGAATTTCTATATGTATGAATTATAACTACTCACAATTATTTTTTTAACAGCATTCAGAAACAGCATGCAGTGATTTTTAATAACAAAGGTGTGATAGAAATTGAATCAGTGTCAGGAAGTGGATCAAAGACAAAAATTAATGGCTTACCTCTCACAGGAAGGAAGGCTCTTTGTCATAAGGACAGAATTCTCTTTGGTATTTTAATTTTTTTTTGTCTTTTAACTGCAAAAAATGTGCTTTTGACTTAAGAACCTTTAACTATTTTGAGTTATAATTTTTTGGATGTATTGCAAATATGGGAAAAAGTTCATTTTCAATTTTGAAATGTTAAGGTTATTGATTTTTGGTGCCTTTTCCCAGGATCCAACCATATGTATGTTCTGAACAATCCCTTAAAACCTGAGACTGCAGAATCAAGTCTTCCAAAAGAAATAACTTGGGAGTTTGCTCAGAAGGAAATTGCTCAGGTGAAAGGATTTGCCACAGGTTCAGCAGGGCTCAGTAAAGGTAGGCATGTCCTGAACATGATATTAAATTTCTAATTTAATATTGAAGCTGAATGATTTTGAAACAGAAATTTTAGATTTTGACAAATTTTAAAGGTACTCCTCTCTTTGTATTAAGGCAGTGCAAATCAACCAAAATACATGTATTTCAATCTCATGGCTGGAAGAACATACAAAAAATGTGACTATTTATTCCTTTACACTTAACAGAACAACAGATAGTACAAGAGCAGGTTCTGGAGATCCTGCCCATGGTTTCTGAAGTGAATGCCGTGTCTGAGGAGCTAAACAAACAGAAGTCTTTTGAAGTTGTATTAATCTCAGCGGCCGCCCAGGAGGGAGGGGACATAACTCAGTCAAATGCCTCCAAGTAAGTACAGGCTTTAACACCCAGAATTTAGTTGTTTTTCTCTTCATTAATTTTTAGAGGTGGTGGGGAGTTTGTTTTTTTTTTTTTTAAAAAAAAAAAAAAAAAGAATTGGTGCTTTTAGTTATAAAATGATATCATGATAATTCTAAAATGAGACAAATTGAAACAAGTGTAGAATTTTTTACAGAAGGTAAAACTGAAGATTTCTTGATTTTTTTTTTTTATAGATCTTTGGTCATTGCTTTCATTTAAATTCATTATATATTTTGTTGCTGTATCCAGTGTAAATTTTGTTTAGCTTCAATTTATAAATCAGCTGAAGTATTGACATTTACCTGTTAATTTTGATTCATTTCGCTTTAGCTGGTTTCAAATTTTGTGATATCCTACCATATATAATTTTTTTTTTAATTCAAAGACAAGTAATTGTTAAATTATCTTAATTTGCATTTTTTTTTCAGTTGGACATCCAAGTATGAAAGCTTAGATGTGTTTTAATCATTATAATCTTGTCTTGCAGTAAACCACTTGCACATGCAAGCTGTGTCTTTTTTCATGTGTTTCTAATCACACTTTTAAAAGATTTTCCATGAGTATCTAATAATGTGTTGCACTAAATGTGATAATTAAATCACTTTATATTCTATGTGTCATATTCATAAAATAGAGAAAAATATAAGGAAATATTTTTATTTAGATTCTCCTAAAACTATTAATAGAGGTTGCATATTGTTTAAGTAAAGAGATTGAAGTTTCTGAATTAATTAAGACATTTGATATTGAAAAAAAACAACATGTTAAACTTAAATTCTTTAAAAATGATATATCCACACTTAATTGAAGAATTAATTGGAAATCTAGGTAAACTAAAATGTTGTCAAGATATATTCTAAATGTTCTAAAGATCAAAGCATGACTTTGTTCAAATAAATTTTATTCTCTGTCAGACTCAAACATGATAATTGAACAGACTTCTCGAAATCAAAATATATTTTAAAAACTTATCTAATTATTGCATGTCAACACTGACACTTTTATTATATGTTGTGAAGTGAGCATGCACTGTAAGTATGATCTACAAATTTAATGCTGGCTTGTGATAGAACAGTGATGTTTTATGCTGCATGCTTCTCTGGTAAACAGTCAAGAAGGGGAGAAAAGGTGTGTAATGAACTGCTGTGATTTAGCCAATCAGCTTCAGAAAATGTGACCCCCTAATTTACATGTGGATTTAGTTAACCAATCAGCTTTTCAGAATTATATTAAGTCTTTATGGATGGCATCAAATTGTAAATCTTCATCTGCTTATATAGTATTTTGCCAGTGGTAAACCAATGGCTTTAATCAAATCCCCAATTTTAATTGCCATCATTTTGGCTTTATGTTGCACAGTTCATTTAATTTAAAATTCTTGCAAATTTATTCCATGTCTTTTTAATTGGCTTATTTTTCATCTTATTTCATCTTATTAGCAGTTTTCTTTTACTGTTCTTGGTTCATTACTATTTCTGTTTAAGAAATACTGTTTAGAAATTTCAAACTATGTTGCACACCATTGTATTAATGCATTCACAAATCTTCACAATTTTCCAAAGTGTTATATTCCATGTTTGTATAAATTTGTTTTGTAGACCAGTAATACAAATAAGTTTCTTGTCACACATCACATTTTAAAAATCAAAAATGCTGCCTGGTAGCTTTTCTCCCTACAGATGCTTGCCATAAGAACTACAGTGATTAACTTTCATGCATGTATTTAATGAAGAAGTATGGATTACAGTTCTTGATGTGTTTAAAGTACATGTATAATTGAAAGAAAATAGCCAATTTCTCCAATCTTTGAAATTCAAAAATATTCTGCCAGAATTTGCTTGTACATAACTGTGTGTAGAGACACAGAGGACTATAAGAAGTACATATTATAAATTTTAAATCATTTAGATATTTTGGGTAAAAAATTATGGTAAATCTTTGTGAGGAAAATGCAATACCATATGTGTTTTCTTATTGTTTCATTTACTTTATTCAGCAGTGTGTAAAAATTCTGTTCTCCAAGTGGATGGAAAACCATGATTAACATCAACTTCTCTACAAACCTTATTAATAACAGTTTTCGGTTATATTTTTCATGACTTTCTATAAGGAGAGGAAGTGGTGCAATAACAAGCTATAATATTTGTGAAAAATCTCTCGAGACTTTCAGTTGGTTAAATGAATTTTACATTTAAATGATAAAATTTTATCAAATATAAACTTACTTTGACTTTTCTATCCACAGAGTAACAGTGAAAATGAAAAATCTTCTAAATGGTAACACATGGCTGTGGGAAAGAGGAAAATTCATCACAAGAAGATATCTAATACAGGTAAGGTTTCCTCACCAGTAAAAAGGACAGTTAATGTCAGGTAAAGTCCAGTCATAATAAATGAACACATTTTCAGAAAGAAGAGGGAATATTAGGGAAGATAAGAATGTTGAATGATTTAAGAGTCATTGAATATATCAACTTATTTGTGACTGGTTGGTAGGGGTGTCTATTTCTCCATGGCACCTGATCCCACCTCTGATTCTTCTGGAGGTCCATATTTGCTTTGCTCCCATGGGCTTTGAGCTGAATAATGTTCATTTATTTCCATATTTCATTCTTCCAAATCTCCAGGAGTTGTACCAGAAGTTTCTAGATGGAGAGGATGTGTCTCACATTCCCAAGGAACAGGACCCTTTCTGGGAGCCCACTGAAGATGTACTGGTGGGGACCTCCAATCTCTTCCTCCAGTCTCTGTCTTATTGTCTGGACTTCGAAGACACTCTCAACATCTCAGATTACAAGGGTCAGGAGGAGGGCCATGTCAAGGTCAAACTGGAGCCCTGTGACCCCAAGGGCAAACCTATTGATGAGGAGGCATTTGTGGATGATCCTCGTGAACTACTTAACAAACCTTATAATTTCAAGGTATTTGAGAAGCATGATCTTTTCATAAAATTTTGTTAAATTTGAATTCTTGGATTTAAGATATGAAGCAAGAATGATGTTTTCTTTTTTAATGAGCACATTTTGGTTAGAATTATTGTCTAATTGGTTGAAGCACTGGAATGAAAAGAAATTTGAATTCAAACTTTTGAAAATACACAAGAAAAATAAAATACGATCTTCTGTTTTAACAGCTTACTATTGAGAATGCAAACATCCACAAATCCAGATTCTCTAAAGGAATCTTAGTTAAATACTCTGTAAAGAACAATGGAAAAGTGGAAGAGGTCAAAACCCAGACTGTGAAGAATACTTTGACCCCGACCTTCAACCACTCCAAGGTCATCTCCATTCCTAAGCTGAAGCAGGAAAACCTGGATTTCTTTGAGTCGGGTTGCATCACACTGTCTGTATATGGGATACAGGAGGACACACTGCCAGACCCCAAACTTCTGAAACTCAACACTAGGGTAAGGATATAATTTAACTTGTAGGGGAGTATATAGATGGTGTTTAAATAAGATCATTACAATATATACCGGTACTTTAAAATAGATGAAGGGATATTTTTTGGAGTGGGTGGTAGGTGTGATGAAATTATTTGCATTAAATAAAGATAAATGAATAATTTCATGCGTAAGTGAAAGTATTGGCTAGTACAGTATTGCGAAAAAGTTACATTTATGCTTTTAAAAAATAATTTCTTGTGATGACCATCATCTGCATTTCTCTGATTGTATAATAACCTTTTTTTGGATATATGGATATAGACTTAAATTATTTTTATAGAATTAGGGGTTTATTTGTCAGTATTGTGAAAGTTAATAATAGAAAAAGAAGTACATAGAAATAAATTGCATGGCATGTGTATAGTGATGTGAATAGATTTTTCCTCCCTAAATTTTTCCCCTTGAATTTGATAGCTATATGTATTGCTAACATTCCAGGAACATTCCATGAAATATTAAATCCAACTGTTGTAAAGGGACTAAAAAAAGGCTGCATATCCAGCTGGTACTTAAAGGGAAAAAGAATTTAATTGGAGTAAAAACTGTAATATCAAATCTCTAGGTTTAGGTTTTCTAATTTATACTTACCAAGGAAACCTTTTGTTTCCAAAATATTGATATGGGAATGCAAATAATTAATTGAAAGTTCTGTTTCAGTAGTTTGTGATAGACTATGATTCTGTTTCCAGAGAATGTACATATTTGCATCCTTTGCAATCACTATGTAAAATATATATACAAAGAGAATAATTTTCATTTTGCATTACATTGAATTTTAGTATTTCAAAAAAATTAAGTTGGATATGCAGCAAGTTTGATCCCAATGCAATATTTCCCAATTATCAGAAATAATCTGTGCTTAAAATTGCATTACATGTACCTGCTTTTGTTATTTAACATGATCCATTGCTTCTAATTTTATCCAGTCATATTTGTTATTTTGTTATCTAGCAATGTAGATGTATTGAAAAGACTTTTATGTAATTATTTTGAATAGATGTTTTAAATTTTTCTTGTATTTCTTTGCTTGAAAACCAGGAATTAAGAGAAGCTTCAATGTACCAGGTATTAACAAGAGCACCAGTTTATCAATAGATAATCACAATATTACTCTAACATCAAACTTTAATGTCATTATATAGCTTTGAATAACATTTAAGAAAGTTGATACATGTATGTTGAAAAATATAAAATTTCAAAAGACATTGAGCAACACATCATTTGAAAAAAAAATAAATGATTAGATATAATTGAAAATACGTACATGTTAAAATATTTGATTATGAAGTGAAATCAAAATTAATATAACATATCCTCTTTCTTAATTGAATGTGCATGTTGATTATAGAGGGAAAATGACTGAATGTTAAATTTTTGATATATGACAGGAGTTAAGAGATGTTACCATTAATCAGGTATAAGATCATCATTTAATTAGATACATGCAGGCATGTTTTTAGGCCAGGCACCAGTTTAGGAGTCATTAAAACACCAAGAAAAATAGGAAGATTTTGATGCTTTCTTCACTTTTTATGTTGCAATTAGACCATGTTTAAATTTGTTATTGTTATAAGTTGATTGCACAGGTAAATAGTATCATTTTTGTTGGGGGGGGGCTTGAAAAAAAAAAAACTGCAATTTTTTCCTACCTGAAAAGATTTTGACAAAAAATGTCCAAACTGGAAAATCCCATATGGGATGGGGATTCAAAATTTTCTTCACAACCAAATTTTTTAATTATACCCCCCCCTCTCCTTGATACTACATGCCTGATTGCAGATAAATGTACCATGCATGTTACTGAGACTGCTTTATATATTTATTCCCGTACGAATTAGGAAATGTATGATAAATTAGAAATGTTTTATTTCAGTTTGCTTGTCTTTGATATTATTTGTTGTGAATGACACAGATTGAACATGTAGCATGATTACAATATTGTAGTCTTTAGCTTTTATAAAACCAGGTTAGAAGAATTTTTTTTTTTTTGCCTGAAGCTTGAAATATTCTTAAAAATCACATCATTCGTGATGACCACAGTTTTTATTTCAGGGCCAAATTTTACTTTTTCTGGTAGACATTCTTTTAAAAAAAATTCCGAATGAAATTTTTTTTTATAGAAAATATATCTCAATTAAACCTCATTATTATCTAAAAGTAACTTGTAATGTCTTATTGTGATGTAGGAGTTGCGACAAATGGAGAACATGGAGAACTTGAACTCCCAGGCCCACGCCAGCGGTAGGCGAGGTACGATGTTTGGTAACGAGATCGCTTCTGATACCTCACATCTCAAGACAGAGGTGGTACTGTTACAGAGGAAGTACGAGAGACTGCAGCAGAAGGAACGACGAATGCAGGTAGGGGATGTTCATCCAGCGTTAGTTTTGCAACATGGTATTTGCGATAATTTTTTTGAGTATTAATACATGTAGTTGCAAAGTCGTTGATTGTGGCATCTACTGGCATTGACTAAAGAATTCATTACTAATGTGACCATTGAACTGTGGCTAGACATAATTATTTTACTCCAAAGAGCATGAATCTGGACTTTTCTACTCCCATTTTCTTTTTTTTTCTTATAGCAAATCTGTGAAGAATGGTCTAAGAAACCTGATGGGGAGAAGCAGTTTGAGCCATTCTTCCGAGCTGTTTCAGCAGCCGCCAATAGCACAGGAACCAGACTCAAGACGAGAGTTCAGATGCTTAATCAGGTTGGTAATTAAAAGGTTAATTAAATATTTAAAATAATCTTTTTAAAAAGTGATGTTAAAGCCATCAGTAGCAATGGAAAGTGTAATTCTTGATCTTGAGCCACTATATTGGCAACTTTATTTTTGCAATTTTTTCATGAAATGAATTGTCTTTTTCCTCTCATGAAGGACAATATTTTGTGTGCTTTGAGTTTCTATTAATCAGTCTTTTTTCCAGTTCACCAAAGAGAATTTGTTATACCTTTGTTTTTTTACATACAACAGTTCTAAACTAAAAATTCAATACACCAAATATGTAATTTAAATCTTATAAAAATGTCGGAGCCTTTACACCAAGAAATTAGAATATTTCATTGCTCATTCTCATATAAAGGGTGTTAAGAAAGTTCATTCCACAATTTTTTTTTATTTTTGAAAAGAAATACGATGAGATGATATTTACATGTTGTGATTTTTCATTTTTAGAGAGTCCATTCTTGTAACTGATATGGTTTTAACTGTCATTTGTTGAAACTATTAGGGGAGGGCAAGTATTAAAACAGATGATGTCTGTGAAGAAAAATTAGGAATGATGCATATTTTTGACGTATTCTAAGCACTCAGGTCAAAACATTCTTTAAAATACAATGCAAAAAATATCAAGTCAGTGAAATTCAAAGTGGCAAACCTATATTTCTTTTGAAAAGTGATTTATCATTCTTATACCTATGCTCATCAGATTGTCTGGTGCAAGATAAGCTATAAAGAAACATAAGTCAATCATCCAATGTTTCAACTCAAAATGACCAGCATTTCTGTTATTCGAGTTCTTTAAAGATGTTAGATATATTTTCATATGGAAGAAAATCCCTATAACTTCCTGCTAGAAACTGATTGCTATAAATTTATAGCACACTCTTGTTATGTTGACAGACCTGAAAATTCATCTCTTTAGTTAAGAACTACTTTGAATTTTTTGAAAATATATCATCATGGAACGAACTTTCTTAACACCCCTTAGTTACCTGTACATAGGCATTATCTGCTATTAATTAGTCCATGATAGACAAATTTCATAAAGATTGTCTAACAAGTACTTTTACATACATACTCCACATTGCAACAAGGGATACTTGTACAGTGTATACTTGTTTAGTGTTTAAAAGGTATGACAAAACAATTGTAGACAGGGTTCTTGGGGCATATCAAATTTGTCAGACCCCCAAACCAGTCTGCTGCTCATGCATGCTTTCAGTTTGGGTCTAACAAAAAAGTTGTGTCCAAGAACCCTGTTGAAATGTAAAAGCTTTATTAATACTGGACTGCTGTGAATATACCTTTTGTTATATAAAAAATTCTTTTTCAATAACAAATCTCAAATTTCCTTCCAGATGCTAAAGTTGCAAAAATCTGTTGCACTGCCAAGTTACAAAGATAAATCTTCCCCAGTAAGACTATTTGAGCACTGCCTCATAACAAAAATAGCTTACAGTGCATTTCTTTAAAAACAACTTGTATCTCAATCTAACTCGAGCTAAACTTGCTGTCTTCTTGACTTCTTTGCATAATTAACAATGACAATAATTGATCAGGAGAGAGAGAGAGAGAGAGAGAGAGAGAGAGAGAGAGAGAGAGAGAGAGAGAGAGAGATTTGTATTATTGAAAAAGGACTCACTTTTTTTAACGTAACTGATGCTTTATTGCATGGTGCTTTTACAGAAATATGTACAGTTGTGTAACACTGAATGGAGTTGAATAATAACAAGTGATATTTAATATAAGCCTTTATTTTCTTATAAATATTATTATGAAGAATTTTTTTTATAGTTTTTAAAATCAGATTTGAAAATCAGATCAATGTTATCATTAGCTTTAGCAATAACAAAATCCAACTATATGTAACATATATTTACTAATTCCCATTAGCTTTTGTTGCATGGTAACTTGAGCAGAGTCCTCTTTATATTTAAGATTTAAAGTTCCAAGATAATTTTGAGAATTTTTAAGTTGACAGTTCAGATTTTGTTTTGTAAATTATTTACATTTAAGTGATTTAACTTATATTTCTTGTTGGATTTTGTCAATGTTGCAAGGTCAAATCCCAATGTTGCCTTGGACTATTCCTGAAAAGGCCTATATAAATCCAAGTCCATATGTTGAAAGTAGATATTGATTATAAAAAGATCTTTCATTACCTCTGCTTACATCTCTTGCACAAGATCTGCTTAAAAATTCTAGAGCAAGTATGAGCTATCACTATTATCTGGAAAAAATGATAAGAAGATCAAAACAGACAGTACAAATATATTGATCAATCACAAATCCACTTTCTACTCAAATACTTTATGCCTTGTATTTTATCTATAACACCTTTTTTGTATTACACATTTTTAACCTCATCATAGATTTCTCTCTCTTAATTAACATAATAAAATTTTAAGGAAAGAAAAATTGTAAAACTGTGTCTTTAACTTTTAAAATCATGTATTTTTGAAAAATGAACTATTAATGTTTTGATGCAGATGTTACATTTACAAAAAGAGGCTCCTGAATTACAAAGGCAAAAAACAATGGACCCTAGCATGCTGTCAAAGGTTTAAAAAAATTTGAAAAAGCAATTTCTCTCACAATCTGCCTAAATAGATGTGTTTGGTGCTGGATTTTGCTTTAAACTAACATATACATGTAAAATAAAATCATCGCATTTCACATCCATCCAATATCAATTTTTCATGAATTTAAATAATATTCATCACATGATTTTAATATTAAATGCATAATATTTCATAATAATCCTAAGAATACATATTACTAATCTTTCTAGTTCACAAAAATATTTAAACTAGGTGGCTTGACTAATAATTGAACAAACGGTGCTTTCAAGCTGTTTGCTTCAGAAGGAATCCCCATCTTACATCATATCATTTTGCAAATCACAAAATGCACGTCATTCAGATCATTGACAGGGTATCATTCACAATGTCATCTTGAGCGAGCAGTGCAGTGCGTCTTGGGGCCTTAGCTTTTTGGAGCTTATCATTACATGTAGAACTTGTTAAGCTTTACCAAATATTCAAATAGGTTTTTCAAGAACAAAAGTATGTGAGGCAAATGGCCATGGAGAAAAGCGTAAGATCGCCATATGATTATCAATAGAATTTGTTAACTTTTTCTCAAATGTAAATATTCAAACAGGTTTTGCAAGGGCAAAAGTACGTGAGGCAAATGGCCATGGAGAAAAGCGTAAGCTCACAAAAGACGTTACCAATTCCTATATTTCACATATCTTGACTTTTTTCTAAACTGAAACTCAACACAGGTTCTGAAACTCTTGACAAAACAGGAAACTATACTTAACAACTAAGCCTAACATAAATTATATAAAACAGACAGTGGTTGAATTATTGAGTTTAATAGAAAAACGGTTCAGAAATGGTGCAAGTTATAGCTTGCAGTAATTCTGTGTTGAGTTTCAGTTTTCTATCATTTTCACCCGACTATTTACTAGCATGTTCAGCAACATTATTCTATAGTTTATAACTATAATGCATGCATTTCCAGGTAAGTGGGTTATGTAAAATGTAGAAGGCTTCCCATCTCTTTATAATTTATTTCCTTCATCCTCTCAGCCTACATAAAAAAACTGTTACCCAATCTTTTTGGTTTTTTATAACTGTTTTTAGCATAGCTGGAATGGGAAAAGGGCCATGGAAACGTGGATTAAGGGTTCACGTTATTAGTCCTGGTCGTTATAGTACTAGTTGGATGAGGAAACTTTGGGTCTCTTTGATTGTGTCGTCTGCTTTTTCCAGGATGGCAAACATGTCGGGGACGGGGATACGATAAGTTTATTTGTCTTTGATGAAAATGAACACGAATTGGCACAGGAGGCCAGCTTAAATAACGGCGTTGTTGACTACCATAAAGTATCCAAGCACCATTACCCGGATCTGCAACTAACCAAAGCCAAAACTGATGTAAGATTAGGCGTCACTTCCGGAATGGCGCACGCACAAAGAATGCGTTTTAAAGCTTTTTATGATTCACTACCCTCTTTTCGTTGTACTCGTAATCCCTAAGTTTAGGTCAGAAATGTTAAAAGATTTTTTGCATGAGTTTCTAGATTTTTGTTGTCCACAAATGTTGTATTTTCCTTTTTTCAGTCATTTTCTTGCTCTTTCTTCATGTGCCTTTTTTAAGAGTGAAATGTTATAATTGTAATTAGTGTAATATTAAATTTTAACAATATTCTTAGCATTCACCAAAATATGGATAGGGGATCTTGAAGTAATAGAAAAAATTCATCCTAATATTCCCTTTTCCCCCAGAAGAAAATGATTAGTGATTACATGTATTAGATTAAAGCTAACTCAATTAATTTTATCAAAATAATGACGACTCTTTTTAAAACCAAATCGAGGCTGTATATTTGTACTTTTTCCACAGTCTGTGATAGAAGAGAAAGACGAGAGTCAGGGAGACCAAGATTCATTTGGCTCTGTAGACTTGGCACCGTATATGAACCCAGGCTCTGAGGACCGCAATAAGGGGTTTACACAAAACGGCAAAAGGACAGCTCTTCTCTCTGATTTAAACACCAAGAGAGAGGTTATTAAACCGGCGCGAAATGCAATAAGCGAGTATTCAGTGAGTCGATATTCCTGCCCTCCCCCTAAGATTTTTGCTTGTTTCCCTATAGCTTATTTTTTGTTTTTATTTTATAACGAAATAATTCGAGACAGCATCCCATTGAGACAAAAAACTCCAACTACTTTGGGAAAAAAATTCGAAGCACTTTTTCTGATTTTCATTTTTAATAGTTTTAGTTTGTGGTGGCCATTAGTTTGTCAATTTCCAAGTTTTTCTTTTTTTCTTGTATTTTTGTGTTCTTTTGTTTTAATTTAGTTCTCAGATTGTTTTGAAGAGTTTCAATATTCAATATCGAAGTGTGTCAAAGGGAACTTGATATGATGTTCGGTTTTCTGAGAAAAACTTGCACATTGCAAAATTCCATTCCTATGATTCCCGAAGTAGGATGAACTAAATTCATATTCAGACAACAAATCCTGAATAAGTGATTCAACAACAAAATCGGGGAACCAATCAGAAATCGTCCAAACTCCTTTGAAGGAGAGAGACCAATTAAACTTCGTTTGAAAAGTTTGAAAAGTCGGAAAAACGACTTTTATGTTCTTTATGTCGTTGTAACCAATGCGCGGACATCTTGCTTGTCAGTTTTGGCATCTACTGTTGGCATGACAACCTCTCTATAGCATGAAAATGTAACCAATTATATATATCTCGGAAATGCATGCATGCAAATGTGGTTACAACGTATTATCAGCACATAACAATAACGTTCATCTGAATATAATCACAATATATAATTCAGTTCAATAATTTTGTTTTATGAACATATGTTTTATAATTTTATAGATTCTACGTAGATATATATTATAAAATTAAACAGAATCTTTTGTTATATATTTATTTTGTTTATTTTTTTTCATTTCAGTAGATATTTTGCAACACGTTTGTGCATCTAGATTTGAAATTTTCATTTTGAACAGTGTGCACACTAGTCTTGTGAATGTAGAAATAAAATGACGATTTCGTGTGATTTTCAGTTAATCAAATTGTATCCGAAGAATTTTAATTTGATTTCATGTTTCGTTTAATTAGGCAAACAAAAAAGCACCAACGTCGAACGGAAAGCGCCCAAGTTCTGCTGAAAACAACAAAACGGAAAGTTCTGCATGTGTCTTGCAGTGATAGGGTGGAACCTAAATATCTTTCTCAAACTGTTACATTTATGACTTTGTATAATCCTATTCTGTTATATTGTTTGCCGAGAGTTATTGTATTAAGAATATCTGTGATATAAAGGGGAATGTCACTTTTTTCCTAAGAAAAGGCCCCGTGCAATGTTATCTTTTGCAATACTTCTTACTGTTTTCATTGACAAGTCAGCATCTGAACATGTGTTTTAAATATATTTCATCAATTATGTGATATCATACAATACTCGTTCAGATGAGCGTACGTTAATTCGGATACTCTGTTATTACACACAACTAATAATCATGATCAATTATTGGTGTTATATGCGATGGTTTCCGTCCATTTTGTTGCTTAAATATCTTGATTTATTTTATTCACTTTAAATATATAATTTTCATCTCTTTACAAAACTTTTCTTTTGTAAATATACTGAAAGATAAATAAATCAGTTTATTAATTCACGAACACTTTTTTGAATGTTTCATTGTATATGAGAAGGTTAAGAATATCAATTAGAACTTTCGAAGGAAGGTAAAGTCAAATTGCTGATGTTAAATGATGTAAGAGAAACGCAATGGCATATGTACTGATCAATATGACTGCACCTTTTCTGTAGTGTAAAACTTCTTTGCAATGGACCGTTCAACTGCAAGGTTTGTTTTCCAATTAACAATTTGACTGACCTGCAAAGCCAAATTTTCCATTCCACTGCAATGCATTACTTATTATAGCTGCGTTTAATTTGTAACTTCACATCCTAGGTAACTTTCTTTTTTAAAAAGTGCAGGACTAGATTTCATAGGAAGCATAGTAACAAAGAAAAAACGCGAGTCTTGTTTGCATATTTCAATGGAATGGTGAGGGAATAACTGCATAATTTGCAAACTGAATGTGATTTTATTCTTCAAATAAGAAAAAATATTTTTAGAGGGATTTTTCAAAACTTTGATATTACAGATAACTGGTAGTATCACAACTAAATGTATTTATGGCACGCCAAATTCATGAAAATGAGCTAAACTTAGTTTCACGGTCGATAAACTAGGTTTATCGGTTGTAAACTATAGTTTACGGACTGTAAACTATAGTTAACAAGGTTAATCTATATTTTACATTTCTAAACCAAAGTTAACCCGATAATCTATGTTTCAGAACCGTAAACTATACTTAACACTGAAAACAATCATTTGCGATTGCAAAAATTAGATAATCTGATAAATACAGTTTCACGATTTGTAAACTATGGTTTACAACTCTTAAACTATAGTTAAGGATCTGATAAATAGAGTTTCACGATTTGTGAAACTATGATTAACAACCCTTAACTATAGTTCACGATTGTAAATTATAGTTTACAGACGTGAATCAATGTTTATCAACAAATTCTACTGTTAACGTTTTATTACAGACAGAGAAACTTAGATTAGCATTCGTAAACTATAGTTAACAACCGTAAAATGTAGTTTTACAGATGAAAACTATAGTTAACGAATTGTGAACATAGTTCACGGTTAGTAAACTATAGTTTACAGTCAATAAACCTAGTTTATCAACCGTGAAACTATGTCCAGCTCATTTTTGCGAATTTGGCGTGCCATATGTATTATATTTTGAAAATTAAAATCGACAGCTTTCAATGAAAAAAAGCATGGTTGTAGCATCAAAACAAAAACAGAACCTTCTTGATGCGTAATGCGCCATTTTACTTGTAAAACCAATTATTCATTTCGGATGTTGTATAACTTAAATATTCCCCAAATATTTTCCCCCAATGTTATCTGTTGCAATGTTTCTTATTGATTTTGTTGTCAAATCAACATTTGAACATTTTTATAATTTAACGAATATTATCAATTTCATCAACATTGATAAATCAATATAATACCAAACAAACCTCGTTTAGATTTGCATGTGTTAATTCGGATGCTCTGTTACACACAACTAGTAATCATGGTCATTAATTGGTGTGATATGAGATGGTTTTCGTCCATTTGTTGCTTTAATATCTATTTTTTTTTTCACCTTAAATATATGAGTTTCAGTGAAAATTTTGCACCTCTTCACAAACCTTTTCTTTTGTAACTATACTGAAAGATAAAAAAAAATCATTTATCAATTGATGAACAGTATTTTGAATGCCATGTTTAAGTATGTTCAGCATTATATAAAAGGATTAAGAATATCAAGCGACTAGAACTTTTGAAGGAACAGAAAAATATTGCTTATGTGAAAGGATGCGAAGGGAAATTACAAAGACATTGCACCGAACAATTTGACTGCACTTATTCTGCAATGTAAAAATTGCATTGTAATGGGCCGCTCGTTTTGCAATAAACGGTTTGTCTGTACTAATATTTTGAAAGATTAATTGGGCTACAGTATTGCCATTAACAATTTGACTGCGGGTACTCGTGTCCTGCAAAGCCAAATTGAAATGAACAGTATGGGTGCTTTTTTTCTGCAGAGTAAAATTGCTGATGTACATCGCAGTGAAACATTCGACTCTGCTTATGCAAAATGAAATGGCGGTTTGCACTACAGTTCACAATTAAACTGCACCTTTTCTAATATCAAGCGGCCATTTCTATTACTATGTGTGTAAAATAACAGTCTGCAAGATTAATTTTGTAATGATATCGCAATGAATAATTTGACCACTCATTCTTTAAAGTGAAATGACTGATGACATATTGCAAATGACAACTTGACTTCACTTAATCGGCGAAGCCAAATTCCTGATGTCATTTCAATGATCAGTTTGGCTGCACTTTAAAATATAAAGTTTCTGCAAAGTAAAATTGGCAATTCAATGACACAGCAACGTTAAGTTTGACGTACTGTGTTTATTCTGTAAGTTCTCATTGCTTACGCAACTGCGCTTAATCTGCAATGCAAAATTGTTCGTGCCCTGGTAAGGTGCAATATGACTGCGCGTATTTCGCAGAGGTAAATTTCTGTAGCAATATGATGAACAGTTTGACTGGGCTTATTGTGCATAGCAAACATGCTATCCGGGCAACACGGACCTCAAAAAGTATCAGAGGTAGGATCAGGTGTCAAGAAAGAGTGATCATCCCCTGCCGATCGGTCACACGTTTGTTCTTTGTCGTGGTCCGAGAAAAAAAACGAAATAAAATCCGTAGCAAATTCAGTATAAATATGGCCAAACAATTGTATTAAATATTTTATATTCTTATAAAGCATAATTTATTAAGGAACTTTTGATGAGAAAAGAAATTTCTTGCAGTGACCTTGGATTCGACTGACTACATGCTCATACTAGTATATTGCTAAGCTGAATTAACAATAAATGTATATAATTTTCATTCATATATTAATCTAATTGATCTTTAAATAAAAACTCCATACATATACTATATTTTAACAATTATTTGAAGTTTTACTGATTTGAACTGAATGGAAACTATCATCTAAACTATATGATTAACCAGATATCCTCAATTTTTCCATGCCTTTATACACGAGTATATCTCCACGATCATTACACATAGTGTTTATGACTCCCAGTCGGTAAAACACGCGCAATATCGCGTAGTACGGTCAGTTTCCCCCGAGACAGTCTACTGACAGGTAAGTTGACATTACAGCAGTAAACAATGGACTACTGTTTATTGAGCATTTAATCATTTCTTTGGTCGTAGTAATGACTTTTTTTCTGATATTACCTACCCTTGGGTAATATTCTAACTTACATGTACATATATAACTTCATAATAATTAGTACACAATTATATTTACACTTAGTATGGTATGTTGTCTAATCGTTACTCCGTTCAACTCACAAATAAAGGGAGTGGTTACAAGCACTCTTCCTAGATATCTGATAACAATTATATTGGTGCTGTTAACGGAAATTATGAGGTATATTTTGATATCTTCACCCTATTTTCATTCATTCTAATTTACGAGAGAGAGAGAGAGAGAGAGAGAGAGAGAGAGAGAGAGAGAGAGAGAGAGAGAGAGAGAGAGAGAGAGAGAACCCCATTTCTTCATGATCACGTTCAGGATCTGTTTTCCTACAAATGTGTGCATTCGGTTTAAAGCAAAATTCAGTCGTCACAAGGGACAAAAGACCAAACCAACTTTATCGTTTTTCGTTAATCAAATACATTTATATACAGTTGTCAGTTCTATTAGCGTTTTTCATCCAATGAATTTCGTTGATGTTGTTGAATATTTTTCACTGTCTCGCGATTTTTAAACATGAAAATTTGTATTTGACAATGAAATCATATTCGGAACAACGTTACACCAACCATAGCTAACAGAAATGTCACTTAAAGAGCACCGGAAGTATATATCTAACCCCTGATATCACATCCGGAATAACGATGAAACCAACCATAGCTAACAGAAATATCACCCAAACAGCACCGGAAGCTGCGGCAGACGGTCGTGAATCTTTTACACTAATCTTCCTTCTCATGGCAACAGATGTTTCATTTTTTAAAACCATAAGTTCTTTTTTCATCTTCACAATTTCTTTAGTTAATGTTTCTTCTTTGGTGCTTGTGTACTTTGCTGCATGAACCTTATTACAAGGACACATGCATCTTCTTTTAGCTGAAATAAGAAGAAGAAGGATTTAAATTACAGTGACTTTAAATACTAACAATTCTTTCTTTAAAATTCGTGGTTTACTTTTACTTGAATTTGTGTCTGGAAAGTTACTAGGAACACTTTCACATAAAAATAAGAAATTATTACTTCCATTCCAAGATAGATTAAAGTCCAGGCTTTGTGATATCACTGACAGCTGCTTTTTCAATAAAATGAAGACGAATTATGTTTACGAAGACACCGAGTTCTATCAATCAACTTCCACTTATTCATAGTTTCACTTATTCATAGGTTTGAAGAGCGATGAAAATTAT